GCATGACACTTACTGTCTATGCTTTCTTAACTTAAAATCTTTTTTTTTTAGCATTAACTGATTTAATGGGAATCTTTAAGAAGATCACATGCTAAATAATATATGTAACTCAATAGTAATGAACTTCTCTCATTTTGTAAGATATGACTGCAAACATGTACATTCGTGAGCTCCTGCTGGTGTGGGTTCATGATTGTTTCTTCGCTTTAAATGAGAAGCCACTAGAGTGCTAACAGCTCCACCTAGTGGAGAAACTTCAGACGGCTGAACGAGTGCGAGTGCACGCGATCTCATTAATGTAAAGTTTTTAATAAATGTTTCCTTTTCAAAGCAACACTTGGCTGTTTTTTTTTGGTGCTGTTGCATGTTTGTCAGCTGTAAATCCGATGTATATACACTATATATATAAGTATTCGCTCGTCTGCCTTCACACGCATATGAACTTGAGTGACATCCCATTCTTAATTCATAGGGTTTAATTTGATGACGGCCCACCCTTTGCAGCTATAACAGCTTCAACTGTTCTGGGAAGGCTCTCCACAAGGGTTAGGAGTGTTTATGGGAATTTTGGACCATTCTTCCAGAAGCGCATTTGTGAGGTCAGACACTGATGTTGGATGAGAAGGCCTGGCTCGCAGTCTCCGCTCTAATTCATCCCAAAGGTGTTCTATCAGGTTGAGGTCAGGACTCTGTGCAGGCCAGTCAGGTTCTTCCACACCAAACTCTCTCATCCATGTCTTTATGGACCTTGCTTTGTGCACTGGTGCGCAGTCATGTTGGAACGTCCCCAAACTGTTCCCACAAATTTGGGAGCATGAAATTGTCCAAAATCTCTTGGGGCTGAAGCATTAAGAGCTTCTTTCACTGGAACTAAGGGGCCGAGCCCAACTCCTGAAAAACAGCCCCACACCATAATCCCCCTTCACCAAATTTTACACTTGGCTCAATGCAGTCAGACAAGTACCGTCTCCTGGCAACCGCCAAACCCAGACTCGTCCATTGGATTGGCAGACGGAGAAGCGTAATTGGTCACTCCAGAGAACACGTCTCCACTGCTCTAGAGTCCAGTGGTGGCGCTTTACACCACTGCATTCCACGCTTTGCATTGCGCTTGGTGATGTGAGGCTTGGATGCAGCTGCTCGGCCATGGAAACCCATTCCATGAAACTCTCTACCCTGATCTGAGCTGATCTGAAGGCCACATGAAGTTTAGAGGTCTGTAGTGATTGACTCTGCAGAAAGTTGGCGACCTCTGCGCACTACGTGCCTCAGCATCTGCTGACCCCACTCTGTCATTTTACGTGGTCGACCACTTCGTGGCTGAGTTGCTGTCGTTCCCAATCGCTTCCACTTTGTTATAATACCACTGACAGTTGACTGTGGAATATTTAGTAGTGAGGAAATTTCACGACTGGACTTGTTGCACAGGTGCCATCCTATCACGGTACCACGCTGGAATTCACTGAGCTCCTGAGAGCGACCCATTCTTTCACTAATGTGTGTAGAAGCAGTCTGCAGGCCTAGGTGCTCGGTTTTATACACCTGTGGCCATGGAAGTGATTGGAACACCTTAATTCAATGATATGGATGGGTGAGTGAATACTTTTGGAAATATAGTGCATCATCGCTGTCCAAAGAAAAGCATGTGTCATCATTTTTGATGATTTTTATTTTTCTACTTAAATTGAGCTCAGCGGCTGCTCTTTGTGTGAAAATTTCATGAGGAATGGACCAATAGAAATGCTCCAAAAATCACTTACAATAAACTCTCTTTACATTGACTTGCATTAAAATGTAAGGTTTTTTACCTTCTCCTGTAAAGTCACCATTTTGGAAATACAGTGACGATATACAATAAACAATATTTTTATAATTCTGCCCACAAATCTCTTACTTTGGCCACAAGAGTCAGTGACCAGTACAAAATTACATCTCTCTCTACCACTGGGCGGGGCTAAGACTACATTAAATTTGGTAAAATGCAGTTAAATGGTCACAAACTGATAAAATATGCTGAAATAAACATATTTCCATTGGGTTTTGACAGTTTTATGATTATTATTATTATTATTATTATTAGTTAGGGAGTTGTAGTGTTATAGAGAACGTGTTATGCAATTTATCCAAAATCCGAAAAATTACTGATGGGACCAAAGTGGTCATATCTACTTTTGCCAGTGTTTTGCCTTAATTTCCTCATTTATCACCACTCACCACGTGCTGACGTCATCCGAGTGTTTTTATTATGAACTTTTTGAACAGATTATTTTTTTCTTACTTCAGACGATTATCAATAACAATCAGTCAATAATCCATGTTATCGTATCAATAGTAAGTACAGATAAATGTCCCAATAATAACCATAAGATATGAATGCAGTTTTTATCCATTCTAAATATCACATTGAAAAACAACAGGCCTTTATTAACTGACAGGTTTCCACTGTACACTGACACAGACAGAGAGAGCAAGAGGAGACAAGAGAGAGAGAGAGAGAGCGAGAGGAGAGAGAGAGAGAGAGAGAGAGAGAATGACTGAGCTGTACATTCAGAAAACAAAAAAGCAGTGGAGGAATTAAAGACAGAGACTGGAAGAAGGAGGGAAGAGAAGAAGAGGGTGAAGGAGGGGAAGAGGAGCACTGCATTATAACGACAACGTGCCTTCTGTTTCACCGTGATTCAGATATGAACAAGGTTTTAAATTACACAATTGAACACACAAATAAATAGACACTCATCAAGCCAATCATTACCATTATTATTATTATTAATATTATTATTATCATTATTACTAATACTATTATTATCATTATCACTATACGGCATGTTACAGAACTTGTAATCATCAGCGAAATCATAGAAATAGAAAATAACCCCGTCCGAAAGTGCAAAGACAGAAGTGCGGATCAGAACAATGGGAATAACAAAAACATACATAATGATAATAATAGTAGTAATTTGTATTTACATACATTTAAATACAATCAAAACTGCCCAGGTTTGAGCAAACATTCTGATGCAGCGGAGCGGGGAGTGTTAGTAGTGGTGTGCAGGTTTATTTTATTGTTCCTGTGCATGTTTTGGGTTTTGAGAACCATTCTGACCGCTGGGGAAACTGAGTTATCCACACATAGGTTCCACTTTATTAGGTACTGTATTTTATCAGCTCCACTTACCATATAGGTGCACTTTGTAGTTCTACAGTTACAGACTGTAGTCCATCTGTTTCTCTGCATACTTTGTTACCCTGTTTAGCAAATGTCAGGACCCCCACAGGACCCCCACTGAGCAGCTATTGTTTAGGCCCACTAGCATCTGCAAGCGAAATCACATTATTTTCAATGGAACTCGCCGCGATGTTTCCAGGATGAATACATTTTGCGCATGAAACTTCACATCGAGTTCAGTTTTGGAGATCTTTGACATTTCACTGCTTTGGATGCAGAGAGAGCTATCTGTCAAAAATAAAGAGTACAATATGAATCTGATTTGACCTGAACATTTGGAGAGCTAACTATATTAATTTAGCTCTCTAACAGGGGTTAAGTTGTACCTGATTCTGTCGTGTCCACTCTTTCAGGTGCGTAAATGTTTTGGCCTTGGCAATGCTGTTCGATTGTAAGCCAATCTGTAGTTACTACTTTTCTATTTTACCTTAGTTTTCCACTTTGTCTGAAGTAAGATTTCCTAATTTGAGATAAGATCGAAGATGCCAACGAGGATGTAAATGAAGATAATACTAACTTGTGAAAAAAAAGGTCGGATCTTAAGACAAAACGATAGGAAGTTTCCGTAATACGGCCCCCGGAGGGCAAATGTGTGACTTGTAGAAGGCTGTAGTTTTCCATACACACTGTCTAATCATTTCGCCGCACAATCAGTGTGCACACAAGCACGGGATCGAGTCCATAGATACTTACTGAGATCGACTCCCAGCCCTAACAGCAGCACTGAATCTCCAAAATAGAAAAAAATGCTAATTAATCAGTGTTTAAACATCAACCTTTTACCATTTCTTCCCCACTTGCTATAAATAAACACTGAAAGAGAGGCCAATACAGTCAATTAGTAATACTGTCTTTACGTTTGTGCTTTTACTGTTTTAGGTAGGTGAGTTAGCCAGATTGCTAACTGCTATGCTATCTCCTTGGCTAACTGCAGCTGCACACAGTTCACCTCACTGTAGCCAACTAGAGCTGTTATCTACTCTTTTCTGGTACCACTCAGTGTGCAGCACTGTGCTGTGGCATTTCTATAGTTATCTGATATAATTATGTTCATTTTTGTGTTTTACTGTCTATGAAAGGCAAGTTAGCCAACCTGCTATCTGTTATGTTAGCTCCTTGGCTAACTGCAGCTGCACACAAGTCATCCCACTGCCGTGTCGATTATCTACACTTTTTTTTTTTTGCTACAGATCAATGTGCAGCTCTGAGCAGTGGCGAGTATATCATCTGATTCACTTCTGTGTTTCAGTAGTAGACATGTTAGCCAGATTGCTAACCACAATGCTCACCCCAGTGTCACCAAACACACTAGTTATCTATAAATATTTGTTTTACAGACCATCATGCAGAAATATACTTTGGCGAGTGTGAATATATTACATTATTATGTTTGTATTTTTACTGTTTATGGTTAGCGAGTTAGCTAGCTTGCTAAATGCACCAAAATGGATGAACTACAAATGTGTATTGTGGCTGCTCAGCACTGCAGTGCTGAGAATGACCCAACACCTACATAATATCTGCTCTGTGGGGGTCCTGTGGGGGTCCTGACCATTGAAGAACAGGGTGACAAAGTATGCAGAGAAACAGATGGACTACAGTCTGTAACTGTAGAACTACTAAGTGCTCCTATATAGTAAGTGGAGCTGATAAAATGGACAATAAGTGTAGGAACAAGGCCCTAATATAGTGGACAGTAAGTGCAGCTTATATCATTGAAGTCTAACCGCAAATTCACTGTAGTCGTTTATGGCGGAATGCTTTGAGATTGAAAAAAAAAAGATTGTACAGACAAACGACAACAACGCTGAGTTAATGTGAATCACGCTACTATTACGTTAAAACATGATTAACTCGTAAAACCTTGATTTCACTGCACTTTTTAAGTGGCTAATTTCTATAGTAACGTAAATCACTTTAGCTTACATTCGTCTGTAATGATACCCGGTGTTCTCAGTGGTTTTAGATACAGTGCAATGATCACATTCACCGAAGGGATTAGACGAGTGATATACATACAGTAGTTTTACATCGTTGTGCCATACATACGTGGAGGAGTGTTGGGTTAAATGTGGCCTAAACGTCGGCTGGGCGTTGTGCATCGTGTTTGTGTGAGCATACATTCCAGAGACAATGCATTCACGAAGGCTGATATCCAATATCTTTACGCTGTGTGTGGCTTATCATGGGTTTCATGTTTCACGTGTGCGGGCGTTTCGTTTAGTAGCGACGGGGGGCGGAGTCTCTTCCCTCCTTCTTGATGATGATCCGCTGGTCGTCGCCCGTGTCGTCAGGAGACTCCACCACCTCCTCTTCGTCGTCGCCTTCCCCCTCTGTATCCGCCGCCATGCCCATGCGGTTCTCGTACGTCTGAAAGAGATCCGCATTAAAGCGATAGTTCAGCCAAAACCTTTACATTCACTTCCCCCGCTTACCCTAAATGCAATCTATCAGCTGTGTTTGGTAGTCTGAAGGTTGCCAGATTGCTTATATAATAATAAAATAATTTAATTAAATCAAATTAAATTAAAGCATATTCATTTTTTACACGTCTAAAACAGATTATGGGTCATTATATATATATAATGCTGAACTGTGTACAGTCAGTAATGCAGAGTGAACTGGATCTATTACAGAACACTCATCCATCACATCAATTACAAACTGGATATAGCTTATTATAATTGCACCTGTATTATTATGTAATTGCATATACTTTTTAAAACCTGCCAAAATGATGACAAACCAGCCCAAATGTTGTCCACCACCAACACAATCCCCGCCACCAAACTCCACCCAATTTGGCAGGAATGTGCTCAATCTGGCAACACTGTTGCTTCTTTAGTTTTAGCACTGGAGCTACAAGGCTGCGGCAGCTAACGACTGTTTTCAATTTTGAGGATGGTTAAACTGCTGCACTGCTCACTGCTGGTCAAACAGAGCCAGGAACTTGTACAGGGTTGCCAGATTGGGCAGTACTTCTGATATTGCATTTTAATGCAATTGCCTTTGAAAATAACTGCTTATCAGTGATGTTTTTTCATTACCTTTTGTATTTCAGTTAAGCTGTGTTAAAAATAAAATAAAATGACCAAATATTCATGCAAATATAAGGCAAATAATAATATATAAAATCTAAATAAAACAAACAGAAAAGAAATGTTTTTTTTTCTGTTTATTCAGTTATTAAAGGGCCCATTTTTTGTCTTTTATGTACCAAAAAACTGATTTTTTATATGACCATTTTCCATCCTCTCTTTTTCCTTATAATTCAACTGGCTGTTTTCATTAAGCTAACTTTAATACATACATACATACATACATACATGTACACACACACACACACACACACACACACACACATATATATATATATATATATAGAGAGAGAGAGAGAGAGAGAGAGAGAGAGAGAGACCATAACATGTATTTATGTATCTAGTATGCTCTCATTGGCTCTGTATGTTGCCTCATCCAAAAAGCACTCAGACCTGAAACACTCCTCAGAACTTCACTACGAGTGCGCGGAGCTAAATATATGTAAATGTGTTGGTTCTTGTGACATCACACTGAATTCAAAACAGGCTGATTTTGCATATATAGGTACTGTATGGGCTGGGTATTCTTTTAAAACTTTGACAATGTTTACATATCACTTCAAACTCCTGTATTTAAAAAATAAAACAGCAAGGAAAATTTGGTTTTCCATGACATGGGCCCTTTAAAGTGAAACATATTTTTAAATTCAAATTTGCAAGAAATATATTAGACTGAATATTGGAAAATTTAAATATTGAAAGTTGCCTAATTTAAACACATAAGCAAGTCAATCTGAGAATATTTAACAGCTCCACGTGGTTTGAGGCAAGTATGAGATGATTTAGATGCTAATTGGTGGGGTATAAGCTTTCACTACTAGCCTCCAGTGCCAGACACCAAACATGTCACAGCTGATGAAGTGTGTTTGGTGTATAGAGCCAAACTGAGTAGGTAAATATGTGTATTATATATAATTGCAGCAATTACCTCCATGGGGTTCACAATGATGGTGAGGGCCGAATCGTCCCACTGGTTGCTGCCTTCTTTGCCGCCACCCCTGGCTCCGTCTCCACGGCGATGGATGGAGCGGATGCGGAACACCCCGAGGATCACCATGACGACCAAGAACCCCACACAGACCATGATGATGACAGTGGCAGCTCCCGGAACTACTGCAAGAGAGATGTGTTTGTAATATTACAGGGAGGTGTAGGGTGGGGCATCTGGCGCCCGGCTGCCTGGCACTGCAGTTTATACAATAATAAATGTTTTTGATTAGTCATTACATAGCAAATAATGGCATCTTAAATGTAGCCAATATAACTAATGTTTCTCTTTATTACATGCTTATAAGAATATTATATTATTCAACCTATTTATACTTATATACAGTCTGTTCAAAAACCAGATGCTAGTCTTAATTTATTTCCTTTTGATCATTAAGTACAAGATATTCATTTGCAGTAGATATTTCTGAGGAGATGAGATACTCTACTTGGATACTGAATGAGAAAATCAAAGTTAAAAAAAAATATAGAAGCTACAGAGAAAATGTGCCTCCTAACAACCACCTGGAAGAGCTGGTGGACACCAAAACTGCCCCCATCAGATAAACAGCACTTAAAGCTTTCATCTCTGAGAGAGAGGAGAAAATCAAGCTGCTTCAGATCTGAAAACATCCACAGGTGTTTCTGTCCATCCTTCCACTGTGAGAAGACGACTCAGCGCTGTGGGTCTGAAAGGATGTGTAGCTGATCAAGAAGAACCTCACTGAGAAAAAAAAAGGAGCCGCTGGTGTTCTCAGAACAAAGGACTGACCACCCCAGTCCAGACCTCAACATCACTGAATGTGTTCGTAATTACTTGGTTCGTAAGAAGCAGAAAATGCCAAACCAACTTCTAAGACTGAACTGTGGAGGTGTGGCTGCAGATTTGCTTTGAAAAACTGAAATCGAGTCCCCTGAAAAAATGTAAGCTATAATAAAAGCAAATGGTGGACAAACTGAATACTTACTATTTTGCACGAGACAATTATGTATATTTCTAAAAAACAAGCAGGATCATCTGTCTGTGCAATAACACAACTTATAATGGTAATACTAGATTAAACTCATCTTATAATGAGAAATACTACATATGCTGCCCTTTACCGTTAGAAATAAAGGTTCTGTTCAGGTACATTTTCATTCATCAAGGTACAAACAGTGTAAATGTTACCTCAAAGGTACAACAGTGGTTTTAAGGTCTGATTGTGAACCTTAAATAAGTTTCTCCAGGTGAAAAGTTCGTATTTGTACCTTTTCATAACCGAATGTTTTAAAACAGAACAGTAAAATAAAAGCCTGGAGACGAGACGGGGTGTGTGGAGTCAGTACAGCTTAGAACATATCATTTCAGTGGATTATGGTTCAGTTATGTTCCCTGACTAAAGGTACTGAGATGTATCCTTGAGGGTCCCACCCCAGTGACAGTTTCATACCTTTATTTTTGAGAGTGTACATTTCAGATGCCAAGAACATGTTTTGAAGCGAGTGTGTGTGTGTACCTGAGTTGCGGTGCGGATTGGGCAGTGTGTGTCCGCTCAGCTCTCCTGTGTGATGAGACGGGTGGAGGAACTGCTGCTGAGAGGCCAGCAGGTGTGAGGGGTGATACAGACTGTCCAGAGAGTGCAGGAAGTTCACCTGGAAGAGAGAGAGAGACGGGAGAGGACGTCAACACAGTAACAATAAGCATCAAAATAGAGATTTTCTTTGACTCATAATGCATTTTCAATGATACGATTAGGCCAATCTGTTCTTCAATCCAGCATTTGCAGCAAAGGCTTGAATTTTGGCCGATTTCTGTACACTAGGTGGCGCCTGTGGATCTTTTATCAGACCATATACAGTCTGGGCTCAAAAGAAAGAAGAATTCTAGCCATTAATGCACACCCATTTATATATATATATATATATATATATATATATATATATATATATATATATATATATATATATGACAACTATATATACTATATATACAGTCTATGTGCACCACAAACAGCTAGCAGGATATTTTCAGTGTTCATAATAATTAGTTTTAAGGTGATGTCTGTGGACTGTTGAATGTAAAGGAAAGATTCTTATTTATATTATTTTATATTTTCTTTTTTATGTTCTACCTTTACACCAGAATAGACATTACGGCTGTACAGTATTGATATACAATGCAATGTTTGATAAAGCTGTCGGATGTCACGATGATGATATGACAAGTGATAAATGATCATGCCTCTCCTTTAAGCAAACAGAATAAAACTTTATAAAAGCACTGTTCACTATTGTGCAAAATAAAAAGAAATACTAAAAGCTACTTACATCAGAACTGCAAGCACATTTTGTGCACAGAAAGGCTAAGAAACAGTCGGCATTACCTCAACAGCTTTTTCCACAAGCAAATATATATTTATTTTTTATATTTTATATAGGCGCACAAGAACTAATAAACATTTTTTATGAGGTTATTTGACCTGTTCTGTCATTGCCGCTCTGACAATGTGTTTATCGCGGAAACTCATATCGCGGTAACGATAAAAGTACGATTTATCGTGTAGCCCTGATGGGCATTTTTTCTTCATGATTCGAAATACTATTCAGAGTCAGAATTCAGTAACAGGAAATGCATATAAAAACTGTCGACAACATCTAATATCGAATCATACGGAGAGATTTTCACCCAGTCCTACTTTTAACTGTCCTGAATTTGAATGCAAGTCAAAATGTTTCGTTTGGCGTTTAGTATCTCCAGTACGTGATCTGACTCTGAATGCTGTCTGTCACTGTGGGGAAAAGTTCTGGTACCTCCAGTGTGAGCTCGTTACTGGTGTAGCGTCCGTTCATTTCTGAACAGGACAGTCTGAACCTCCTCTCGAAGCGGGCGGAGCCTTTTGCTAGTCTGTAGCGAATAGAACGCAGGACATCCTCGTACACTGAGATTGACTCCGCCCCTGAGGATGACAGTGGAAGAAGCAGAGTTAGGAGTGGGCATTGCTAATTGTAATAGTATTAATATAATAATAGTATGTAATATATAATAGTATTGCTAATTATTAGTAATGATAAATAATAACAGTAACTTTGGTGCATTAATAAATGCATATAATCACTGATTATTATCAATATTGAATGATATAGAAAAACACACCATGATAAGAGTTCTGGCCACATTGCTCAGCCTCAATATGACTATTTGCTTCAACTTAAAGAGTTTTTACTGTTTTAGTGATGTACAGAGCCCCGCTGGTGACATCCTGTATGAATAAAATTAATGTGTGGCCACGACTTAGTAAGTCATGTAAGTAAGGAACAACGTGTGGCCGCGCCTTATTAACAAGTGAGAACGAGATCCTGATGCGTGGCCATGAATTAGTAATGCATGGGAACAAGATCCTAATGCGTGGCCATGACTTAGTAAAGCGTGGGAACAAGATAATTAAGTCGTGGCCATGACTTAGTAACGTGAAGGAACGAGATCCTAATGCGTGGCGGCGCTTTATTAACAAGTGGAAACGAGATCCTAATGCGTGGCCACGACTTAGTAAGGCATGATCTTCTGCCCACCCCTTACTAGCCACAAATTAGGATCTCGTTCCCACTCGTTAATAAGGCGTGGCCACACATTATTTTTATTTATATGGGATGTCACCAGTAGGACTCCGTAAGTGAGTGCTTTGTATTCATCATAATAGTGGACATTTTGTCCAGTTTGTATCCAAAGACATTCACTAAATGGACAAATGCCACCTCATGTAATTAACACAAGAGAATAGGAGTGACCACACCATTCAGTTTGATCACAGTTCTTTGTGATCAAAAAATAATTCGGTGCATCATGAAATCTAAAATTTCACCAGGATTTGATTCAGTTCAATTAATGTATACTTTGTTGAAGACTATTATGGTTGCTTATAATCAATTCTAACATTATGAAATCAATGCAACTGAAAGGCCATTGTCATATGACTATGCACTGTAGCGTCCTTAAGCATTTATTGCCTCAAAAAAACACAAATATTCAAATAAATGCAAAATAAGAGGCTTTCATATCACAATAATAGCACTTACAGTTGTCTAGGGCAGATCTAGCAGGGCAGAAATTTCATTAACCGACTTGTGGCAAAGGTGGTGTTCTAAGATCACTGAGCTCTTCCACTGTTAATGTTGGTCTATGGAGATTGCAAGACTATGTTCTTGATTTTATACACCTGTTAGCAATAAGTGCGGCTGAAACACCTGAACTCAGTAATTGGTCTACATACTTTCGGCCTTCACTGAAAACAATGATATGTTTCACTGTGTTTATGTTTATTTGTATCTACTCTAATATTTTACACACAAAAACACACTTTCTGCCTAGAAAAACAGCTTTAAACAACTGTTGGCTGCACAGCACTGTAGATAACTGCACTGCATTACTCTACATGTAATGTAGCTACATTACCAGTGATGGCGATGTAGGCTGTGGTGTTGATGATGTCCAGCCCTTGCTCTTTCAAAGACTCCATATCCACCAGAAGCTCCTCCTTCTCTGGGTTTAGCTCCTCCCCCAGGGGCTGGACCTCACAGCCGTCCAGAGTGTGGGCCACTGCGTCTGACATGAGCGCTGATTCGGATAAATACAGAGTGCAGAATCAGTACAATTCAGTTACTCTCAAACCACAAGACATGCAGAAGTGAGGCTTGTTATACTGACAGTACTTTAAGTATATACGAGAAATAAAAGTAGAGAATATATGCTATGGAGATGAGGAGATAATAATTGGGCTGTTTTATTACTAGGTGAACACAAAACGGGGATAAAACAACCCAGAATTCAATGCAATACCAGGGGAATCAGCCCATATGGAAATGCAGTATATCCCAGTAAACTGTCAAAACCATTCAAAATCTAAATAAGAGTGTATTTTAAAGAGTATTTTTTCAAAATGTCCACAAAATGAAATCATTCAGCTTAAAATGTACACAAAGTCATTCAAACCGTTTTGGTGTGAAATGCTCTACTCTAGAAAAGCGACTCAGAATTGTTCACAGTGGTGGTGATAGGAACCAGACGTCCACCTCTAAAAGCTCCCTCCCAGAAAGTTACTACATGAAATGGTGACCAATATGATGCTTGATGTCTAAGACATTGTTTTACAACAACATTTTGGCTTAAAACCTATGTTTAAAATCTAGCGAGCAAGTCAAAATGTATTTGTTTTCAGATTTATTACTATTTTCACCATCATCCACATTACATATAAACACTCAGAAGACAGGCGTATGATCACTGGCGGTTTTATATAGTGAATAAAATGTGTTACAGACATTGTGACCCCTGTTTCCCTTCACCACTGCTGTAAACAAGTCAGTAGTATTCACATTAAACCACTCTGCATAACTTTTGCTAAATGAATTTTGAAAAATCAGTTGAATTCTTCTTTAGTATATTTTAAATACAGTGCATTTTGTATGCAAATGCGTTTCACAATACATCAAAAGGCTCGTCAGGAGTGATTGCATTATCATAGAGCCACAGATAACAAAGGGGGAAGAGAGGGAGACAGAGGGAAAGGAGGGTAAAGGGTAATCAGATAAGTAAGGAGGTAAACAGGTGAGTCGTCACTTGTTTTGCTGCCATTCTCTTTATCACTTTTACTACAATGATGTGTCCATGTTACTTCATAGCACCACTACTCACTGTTTTATTACCTCACGCGAGCCGTGCACACTTTGTCTATGATCGTACGATGTTAAAGAGACCTGTAATAAACTTGTTTATGTGGTTATCTTTGTGTGGCTATAAAAAATACAGGAAGTCTGAATCTTACCCATAATTATTTAATGTTGAGAAAGTCTATTTGAGATTATTTAACAGCTCCACCCAGTTTGAGGCCACTACATGATGATTTAGGCATGATGTTAGCACAATGGTAATTGGTGGGGCATAAGCTTTGCTACATTAGCTTTGTAGCTCCAGTACAAAAGTAAAGAAGCTTCAGTCACCAGCCGATGTGGGGTGAGATGGAGGAACTGTGTAGATTTGATTTGCTTTAAAACAGACAGTAGCCATGTTTACATGCAGCCTGATAGTCGGAATAGAATACGTCCATGTAAACACCTCAGTCAGAATAGACTAGTCTGATTGAGGCCATTCGGAATACAGTTTCTACCTGATTGAACGAGGTGGGCAATCCTGTAAATAATCCGTTAAATAGAAGGATAATATCAGTGTAAACGCCTGTATCTGATTACATTCCCTATCAGAAAGTTTCAGTCCGTTCTGATCATGTTCGTCACGTCATAGTGAAAGTTTATACCGTTCAACATGGCGGAGCAGAAACTGGTCTGCAGAGGAGACAAAGTTTATGCTCTGATCTTTAAAAGACGGCGGTGGGACGGACGTCCAGCTTATGTGTCTCAGAGCACGACGTCTTCCTCTCGGCCTTCTTTAATAAGGACGTGTGAAGGACGTTTTCCTGAGTCTGACATCATTTTAAAGCAATTAAAAACACAAGCGCTGCTCACTGCTGCTCATCTCACTCTGACTGGACTCACATGATGCTGGTTGTCATGGTAACGTCTACACTAGCCAGTGTGTGCTTCTCCTCAGGGACTCACCTCCTCCCTCCATGCCCTGAGCGGCCGTGTTGACAGCGTGAGAAAGGGAGCAGACGATGCGGAGCTCGGGGAACAGGGGGACCCCACGCGGACTCTCGAACTCCGGGGCCGGGCGGGCCAGGTGGGGACCAACCCCCGAGAGAGAAATCTGGGGGGCGTCGGGCTGAAGAACCACCAAATAACCCTCCAGCTGCCTCAGAGAGAGGCAGCTCTCCTCACTGAAGCACCTAAAGAAAGAGACGGGGATGTGATGACTGTCCATTCTCTCTTAGTGCTTTAAGTGTAGTGCTGTGCTAGGCCTGCGCTAGCCCTCTTATTCAGGTAAATAACCATGGTAAACAGTTAAACTGGGTTGGGGGGGGTATTTTTTTCTTTGCTTTTCTGTTTCGTCCTGTAATTTTCCCACGGTCTCTTACACTGAAGCAGATGTGGGAAAAAACAGCGATAGCGTGACTTAAGAATGTTGCATCAACACGCATCCTCAGGGTGACGAGATCAGATCTCATTTTCACTTTTCCAGTGTAAAAAGCACGTCAACACAAACACATTTCTGTCTTACATTTGTTTACTATTCCCCATATTCCAGCGGTTGGCAATCAAAATGATAAGAAGAGCCATTTTGTCCTTTCAACAAAAATCTAATCTTGGGAGCCACAATATTGTCCATTTTACCATCTTGGCTTCAAATGTGTCTCAGTATGTGCTGATGTTCTAGTACAGGCGAAAAAATATAATATAAACAAAAACACAGACTTACTGTGCTCTGCTTTAAGCTTTAGCTCAGCTATAGCTGCTTTTCTCGCATCTCGGGCAGGAAACTTTTCCGCAAAAGTTTCTTGTAAAATGTCTCTCAACGTTCGAATTTTTATGAGGCTGAAGTCGCTTCTCATTCGCCAGCTTCTTGTTCACATTTTCCCGTTCCACCTTAAATGATGACAGAATTTAACTACTGTACCATTTAAGGTGGACAACAATTCGAACGAATCTGACTACAGCTTTTGAGTTTCTCGTTGCAGATTAAACGTATCAGGAAACCAGCTGGAGTGATTATAAACGCAAGTAAGTCCGTTCGTCTTCAAATTACCGATGTACGTCTTAAATCTCTCTCTTTGCCTTTTAATTAGCTACTAGCTAGGCGAGATTGCTGTCTGAGTTGCTATGGTGACCAGCAGTCTAAGTGCCAACCTTCATAGTTGCTCGCCTCACTCTGACTGGACTCACGTGATGCTCGTTGTCATGGTAACGTCTACACTAAGTGGTGCTCTACGCATACATGTAATTTTAGATCTGATTACTTGATGATGCACTCATTAAGCCATAAAGTGTGTGTGTGTGTGTGTGTGTGTGTAAATGCACTCTGTCTGGCGCACATCTGCGCGTGTGTGTGTTTCTGAATGAGCAGCTGGTCATATTTATCTCAGTCTGATCGCTGATGTATCACCAGCTGGTCATCACAACCTTCTGCCCTTAAAATCTGATTATACTGAAGACAAGCCTTAAAAAACACACTGTCGCCAACAGCCCCGAGCCACAATCTCTCCACGCCTGCTTAGCCAGCACCGTCCACCTACTCCCTATAAACCACGAGTGATGGGACAGCATGGTAAGTATGCTATCTGTGACCGATGACTGTATTTTGATGATGTTTGTGTGTGTTTATGAACCACAAACAGTCATATTTCATATTTGCATGACCACTTTCAACATCTCTTTAAGACTGATATACAAACCTCAGTTCCGGAAAAGTTGGGACATTTTGCAAAGTGTAAACATAAATGACCTCTGTTCTGATTGGCTGCCTCATTCAAAAAGTAGTCCACGCTGAACTTCACCATGAGTGGGCGGGGCTAATCTGCTGTAAGTAGGCTGAACAGGTGGATGTGTGTAAATATGTTGGTTTTTGTGACATCACAGAGATTAGTTTCCATATATTCCATATATGGACTGTATTGACTGGGGAGCGAACAGCATGTTTTGAGGCCCTAACAATGCTACATCAACATATAACGCTTACTTAAAAGAGTTTTCCAACAGTATTTTCACAGTCATTTAAAATATACTGAAAATCTTTCAAAAGTACTATAAAAAAAAGAGTTCCAGTTCTAAAATCTGATTGGCTGAGCCACGTTCGAAGTAAAACACTCGGCATAGACACCTATGACTGCACACATCAATTAAATTCTGTATTAATGCAGCAGGACTGTTTTATACAGAGAAGCATCGGCTACGGCAACTGGACAAAATCTGGACAAAAATGGACAAATCAACTAATGTACACTGAACTCATTTAGGGAACAGGGTTGCTATATATTGTGGATAAATATAAAATTTGACACCAAGAAAAGCCTGAAGTGAACGTGCTTAAAGCTTGCGCTGCTTGGCGGACGAGTGTTATTTCAATTGTTGTGATTATAAAACATATCACCATTGTTGGAAGAAAACCTTCTATTTCCAAAATGGTAACTTTACAGGAGAAGGAAAAACACACTTTACTTTTAATGTAAGTCAATGGAACCAGACTTTTTTCCAAGTCATTTTGGGCCGTTTCTTTTGGTCCATTCATCATGAAATTTACACACAATGTAAAGAGCAACAGGTACTTTTAAACTGTGTCAAAAACTGAAAAACAAAAATGGAGTTACAAGGTTTTGTTCCAACAGCAGCGATATATACATGTACTGGTCTCCTAATGGTCTCCCATCACCCCCATCACACCCCGTTCTTAAATCCTTACACTGGCTATGATTTCCAGAATAGACTTTAAGATACTATTTCTGATCTATAAATGGTGCAGGAGCAGCGTATTTATCTGATCTGCTGCAGCGATATGAGCCGAGCAGAACTCTCAGATCATTAGGACCTGGTCAGTTAGTCCTGCTGAAGGTGAAGTCTAAACACGGAGAAAGCACGGTGTTTCGCTACTATACTGCTCTTAAATGGAACCAGAGGGCATTAGAAGAGCCCCGACACTGGACACTTTCAAATCCAGGCTCAAAACGTTCCTGTTTAAGCAGTTTTCAGCTCAGTTTAAAACTTTTTTACTTGTAATTTCTATTTTTTAATTTGTTTTTTTTTTTATTATCCTAATTTCATTTCTAATTTGATGATTTTCTCTTTTAAATCATTTTTTTAATCATGTTTAAATAATGTTTTTAATTTCTATTCTCCTTTACTTTTCAAACGACTCTGTATTTTCTCATTTGTAAAGCAGTTTCAATGACAGCAGTGTATGAAAGGTTCTACATAAATAAACCAGACTTGCCTTATAGTTTAGCAAAAGTCAGCAGCTACAGTATCCCGGGTGGTTGCTAACGTGCTGGGTGGGCTGTTGGTACTGTATTCCAGGTGAAAAAGCACAGGCAATTTATTCGGCTATAGGCTCAGTTCTGTGGTCGTAGCACAAAAGCTGTAGGAGTAGCGCGTAAACTGTGTGGTATAAAAGTGTAGTATAATGATAATAAGAAGAAAACAAAGAACAGTAAGTTGGCTTTTTTTGTTTACTGTTCAGATTATAACTGTATAAACATGTTGTCCTGTAAACATTATTACTTCCACACTGTAAAAAATGATTCAATGTTTTAACTCATTAAAACAATAATGGTCCTACTACGTTCCTAATAAGCACTGTATTGCACCTTCCCTATTCATCGTTCATCCTTTTTGAACTAATTTGGATCAGTGCCCGACCGTATCTGTCCACTGTAGATGCTTTCAAGGGATTTGCCATTTCACTTCTCCTCCCGTCTTTTTATCCTCTCTTCATCTTCTAATTCGGGCTGAGTTCATTCGTTTCACGTTTCTCCACAGACAGAATGACTCTTCTTCATTTCAGGAGATGAGCATGAACTGAAATCTGAGCTACAACTATCTATAATAACGTAATGAAAAGAAAGATGTAAAACGTGAACTTACTATTTTAGTAGAAAAGCTGCGGAAATTTAGTTCCTGATTAAAAACTGAAAGAAACTGGACGCCAACGTGTTTCAGGGTGAAATCAGAGAAAATTGGTAGCTCTTTAAAAGCAGCATCAGTCACAAAATGTTCATGTCGGTCACGTATCCGTGGTGTATTTACCTGAGGGACGTGGTGAGCTTTAGAGGTCGGACTCCAGGCGTGGCGAAGCGTAGAGAGTTCCGGTAGGTCACCTGCTGGACGGCACGGTTAAAGCTTTCGATGTCGTCTCCCTCCAGAACCAGCACCGACTGACTGGGGTTAACATGGACCTGAGAACCCAGCAGAACAGTTAGAACCACCCACACTGCAGGGGCCAATGTTAAATGGACAGTTCACTTAAAATCAAATTTACAATATTACACCCTGAGACCAAAAGTCATTGTTTGATTCTGACGTTTGCTTTACTTTTGCACTGGAGCTGCAAGGTTCATTTATTATTCACCAATCAGGCATAACATTATGACCACCTCCTTGTTTCTACGCTCATTGTCCATTTTATCAGCTCCACTTACTATATAGGTGCACTTTGTAGTTCTACAGTTACAGACTGTAGTCCATCTGTTTCTCTGCATACTTTGTTAGCCCCCTTTTACCCTGTTCTTCAGTGGTCAGGACCCCCACAGACCCTCACAGAGCAGGTACTATTTGGGTGGTGGATCATTCTCAGCACTGCAGTAACACTGACGTGGTGGTGGTGTGTTAGTGTGTGTTGTGCTGGTCTGAGTGGATCAGACACAGCAGTGCTGCTGGAGTTTTTAAACACCTCAGTGTCACTGCTGGACTGAGAACAGTCCACCAACCAAAAATATCCAGCCGACAGCGTCCTGTGGGCAGCGTCCTGTGACCACTGATGAAGGACTAGAGGATGACCAACACAAACTGTGCAGCAGCAGATGAGCTATCGTCTCTGACTTTACATCTACAAGGTGGACTGACAAGGTAGGAGTGTCTAATAGAGTGGACAGTGAGTGGACACAGTGTTTAAAAACTCCAGCAGCACTGCTGTGTCTGATCCACTCGTACCAGCGCAACACACACTAACACACCACCACCACGTCAGTGTTACTGCAGTGCTGAGAATGATCCACCACCCAAATAGTACCTGCTCTGTGAGGTGTTGCTGTACTAGTGTTAAGTATGAATCTTTTACAGTACGCATGTCATGTTGTAGTATGAGTATGAGTGTTGTTTACAGTACAAATGTATTATTGCATTACAACTGTTGCTTTACAGTATGAATGTTATTCAAGTATGAGTGATGTGTTACAATATGAGCGTTGTCGTGTTACAGTACAAGCAATAAGTATAAATGTTTTACAGTACCAGTTACCAGTTAGCTGCAGTATGAGTGCTGCTGTTTAACAGTATGGTTGGATTTTTGCAGTACAAGTATTGTGTTCTGAATGTTGTACTATGTTACAGTACGAGTGTTGTGCTACAGTACAAGTGTTGGGTTTTACATTACCTTCATGCCAGAGCCTAGAGTCTCCAGGTCCCCGAAATCCAGGCCCTCTCTGCAGGCGTACAGACACTCCACTACACTGTGGGGCTCCACGCTTCCCGGACGTACCGTCACCCCCGACAACAGGCCCCGGTAACCACCCACAAACTTCCCTGAGGACGGTAACAAGATAGAGACGGCTGAGAGAGACAGCAAGCAAATTCACAAAATTACACAATATCACCATTACGGACACGAGCCCTTAAAGTGGACTAATACTAGTTTCTATTTTTAGTTTTTATTTTTTATTTTTTATTCATTATTTATTGTCTGTGTTCCACAGCTGTGCAAATAATTCCTCCAGATTTCTCTACACTTATTTATTCGGTGTATTAAAAAAAAAACTGAATTATATCAAAATAATCGAATGGGTTGGTGGGGATTTCATGATGCCTTTTCTAAAGAATCATTGTGAGGAAACTAACTCTCTAAGACACAGACACGGCTCTCTGGAGCCTGAAACTCACCTGTGTCCTTGCCTTCGGGGATGCTGTTGTTTAGAATATCTTTCTGCTTCTCCTCTGGCTCTGAGATGGTGAAGGTCAAAGAGAGGAAGGGAGCGAGGGCAAAGGAGGGAGGCAGAAAAGGAGTGAAATATTACCACAATTATGAGAGGACAGAGTCTATCCAGTGCATGTGAGCAATATGACGATATGTTATCGTTACAGTGATAAACTGCATCACAGCACTTTTCTGAGTACATTATGAGTATCATCAGCACTTCTACAACACTGAACAACAGCATAGATCATAAAAAGACAGATTTAGACCATATTAAGAGAGCTGGTAAACAACAACAACCACTTTATAGTAACTGTACAAACTGCAAAGTAGTTGATTGGAAGCCAATATGCTTTTTCTTTATTATTAAATTTTTACCAATGTTCTGATTTTTCCGCCTGTTCCTTCTAAAATATTTTTTGCAAATGTCTAATTAAAATGTTTATTGCATTCATAGTTTTTTTAGACTTTTTTAATGTGGCACAACTGTTTTGTGTTTAGCGCTGTCAAATTTCACACAATAAACTACAAACATGCATTTCCTGAAGTAAACGCCGGACGGTTGCGCAGCTTAAATGGTTCCCACTTCCTGCTAGGTTGTTGCTAGGCGGTTACTCTGGTATCCCAGGTGGTTACTAAGGTGTTGCTAGGCAGTTGCTATGGTATCCCGTGCGGTTGCTAAATTGCTGCTAGGCAGTTGCCATGGTGTATGGGGTGTTTAGTTGTTCGTAGGGAGTTGCCAGGTGTTAGCTACGTGTTGTTGAAAATGAATAGAAGTCTATGTGAGGAACGAAGGATGAAAAAATGCCACACAGAGGAGTGCGGGTCAGTATGGCTGTGGATTAGAGCTTGGAGACCTGCCCTGAGTGAGTACATGCATTTTGGTCTCTGTTGCGCAAAGGAAAAAACAGGGCTGGGGTTTTGGGCAAAAATGAATGTAACTCTAAGGGAGGAATGAGGGATGAAAAAATGACACATAGAGGAGTGCAGGTCGGTATGGCTGTGCAGTAGAGTTTGAGGTCGTACCCTTAGTGAGTACATGAAGTTTGGCGGCTGTCGGGCAACAAAGTAATAGTTTGTGTGGTGGCGAAAATGAATGGGACTGAATGGGGAGAAACGAGGGATGGAAAAAAAATGACAAACAGATGAGTGTGGGTCAGAACAACATTGAATTTGTGCTTGGGGGCCTGCCATGAGATAGTATATGCAAAACGGTGTCTTTCGGTCGAGCAGAGGGCAGTAGATGATCATGCAATTTTCACCCCATTCATTCCTATGGGAAAAAAATTGGGAATTTAACGAAGATCATACGAAAAACGTGCATCCGAACAAAAAACTGTAAAAGCTCAAATCACAGAATCAGAGTGGACAATCTGGAGTTGGAACGGTGTTGATATCTTGAAAACTGCAATGAGCAACCATAATTATTAACAGCATGCCAATAGCATGTTTTCATAGTATGACCTTTGAACTCATCCGCAGTAGTGCAGGCTGAAGCCCAGCTGCTCCTTCAAACACAGCTTTTAAATGGCTTTTAAAGCGAAACCTTCAGCACCTTCAGCAGACTACGCTGGACAGAGCTCAGAGGAGGAACTATGGATAAATTAAACAGCAGCAAACTAACAAAAGCTACAGCAAAGTGCTTTAGTTCCCCCCCGAGATCCTCCACCATACCAAGAATCCAGCTGTATGAATGAGAGCGAGAGGCTCGAATCATGCAGGAGCTGAAACACTGACTGTATGCATGATACATTACATGGCCAAAACTTTGTGGACACGCCTCCTAATTACTGAGTTCAGTTATTTCAGCCACACCCATTTCTAACAGCTCAAGTCAGGTCATCAAGTCAGTTTGTGAAACTTCTGCCCTTCTAAATCTGCTCCAGTCATCGTTAATTGTGAAATGGGAGCGTCTAGGAGAACCAAACAGCTCAGCTACAAAGCGGTAGACCTCACAAACTCACAGTGTAAAGATCACCCATGCTCTGTTGCATCACTCACTACAGAGCTCCACTCTGCCTCTGGAAGCAGCAACAGCACAAGAACTGAGCGTCAGGAACTTCATGAAATGGGTTTCATGGCCGAGCAACTGCACACAAGCCTAAGATCACTATGTGCAATGCCAAGCGCCGGCTGGAGTAGTGTTACTCCACTGGACTCTGGAGCAGTGGAAACGTGTTCTCTGGAGTGATGAATCACGCTTCACTATCTGGCAGTCTGATGGATGAATCTGGGTTTGGCGGATACCAGGAGAACGTTACCTACCGGAATGCACTGTGCCAAAGTGTGGTGGAGGAGGGATGATGGGCTGAGGCTGTTTTTTAGGATTTGGGCCCCTCAGTTCCAGTGAAGGTGATGTTGATGCTACATCACAAAGACATTTTACACAATTATATCCAGCATGACTGAGCCCCTGTGCACAAAGCGAGCTCCATAAAGACATGGCTTGACGAGTTTGGGGTGGAGGAACGCCAGTGGCCTGCACAGAGTCCCGACCCCACTGAACACTTTTGGGATGAACTGGAACATTGATTGTGAGCCAGAACATCAGTGTCTGACCTCACCAATGCTCTTTTGACTGAGTAGGCACCAATTCTCACAGACAAACTCCACAATCTTGTTGAAAGCCTTCCTAGAAAAGTGGAAGCTGTTCTAGCTGCAAAGGGGTTGGACTCCATAATAATGCCTATAGTTTTGGGATGGGATGTCCAACACACTCATGTCGGTGTGATGGTCAGGTGTCCGCATACTTTTGGCCATACAGTGTGTTTTTGCCAAATCGCCCACCCTTAATTTGGTGTCATCTGTGCTATAATGGAGGAATTCTGAAAGGTGATTAACAAACTTCACGGTGCGGTGAGTGGAACAGCAGGAGACTAAAAGCCCAGCTGGGCATCTGTCTCACTCTCGTACGCGTACAGAGCTGTTTTTGTGTTTTGCTGAATAATAGATGAGTCAGAGAGTATTAATAGCAGACTGAAACAGACACACGCCATGTAATTAAAGAAGAGAAAGTCCAGGCTCCTTTAGCATCAGCGCTACCGCTGGAACGTTCCTACATCTCTGACATGCTTATGCATACTTATAAAACGGATAGTTCCGGTCCTACAATCTGATTGGCTGAGCCGCGTTCAAAGCCGCTGTAAAATCCACGACATACGCACAGCTATGACCGCCTCACAGCGACTGAACTCTAACGCTGACTGATGTAACACTGCATCACATCACGAAAAAACCCTTGTGCTGTTAATGGAATAATCTTTGACTCTCATGCTGGTCGCATGGACCACAGAGTGTACTGACGAAGTAAGAACCAGTTTTTTGTTATAACTGAGGGGCTGACAACTTATGTTCTTAACTAGAACCAGGCTGAAAAGAGCCAACAGCCTAAACAACTCCATCATTAATATCACAGGCTTGAATTAAAGCACTTACGGTATGAATCACTGTTAAACTGCAATATAAAAGTCTAAAAAAAGTGTCACTTGAATGGTTTACGCACTTCAAATGTCTGTGTGTCAAACTCAGGCTGAATCCCAAACAGCTCTGTATTCCCTAAATAGTGTTCTATAAGTTTAGAAATTCTAGCCTCTACAGCCCAATAGTGCATCACTTATCGAGTGTGGATGTGTCTGAGTCACAAATGACTATTTCTTGTCTGTACTTTGCTCTGTTGGGCTGCAGGATCCAGTATTTAAATTCCTATGTAGTGCACTATGTAGGGAGCAGGGAGCCGTTTGAGATTCAGCCCCAGCGTGAGAAGAAGGCGCCGCTGGATTGGCGCTAAATAAGACTCGTGGTGGTAATTTGGTGACCAAAAAGTACTCATACACTCACGGACGCTCTCTCTCTCTCCCTCACTCTCTTTGTCTCAGGATCACAGCCTCTCTCTCTCACTCTCTCTATCACGGCCTCGCTTGCTCTCTCTCTTGTGCACGCAGTCTCTCTTTCTCACACTCTATCGCGCTGCACTCTTGCACGCACGCTCTCTCCTTCTTGCTCTCTGTCCGCGCCCCTCTCCTTCCCTCTCTCTCTCTCTCAGGGTGAATGTGACCCTGAAGGAAACCATGGATGATGAGAATGTGTAATCAAGTCGGAGTGAAATGTGTGATTTGTTAACGTTACGAGGATCAGGGCTGGTTAGAAAATATACAGGGTTGCCGCTTTGGACTCCCAGACCAGCCGATGCTCCTGATAAGTACCATAATCTCTCCTAGGGTTGGGCAATATGATGATATTTTAGCATTATCATGATAAATTGTCACAATATGCTTTTCTGAGCATATCAAGGATATCGTCAGTACCTGAACAGTGACTAACTACATGTTTCATTGCAAAGTGAGCATAAATATTACTGCTTAATTGGATTTAGTGCAGTGTAGTTTGTAAAACACTGAAGTAAAATCACTGTAGTTGTAGGTATTATTATTGTTATTATAATGAATATTATTGTATTTTTATATATGGCACTACAGATTCAGTTTTATCTGTTCCAAATTATTGAATCCCAGAAAAAACAAAATATTGTGATGCATATTGTGTATCGTGAAAATGTCTTGAAGTATCGTGATATAATATTTTTGCCATATCGCCCACCTCCAATGTCTCACTGAATGCATTTGCTACTTTCTTTTATTTACATTCATTTGCCTCAACCTAAAGCATCCAATTCACTTTGTTGCAGCGTAATATGACTGAAATCTAACGACTGTGAAAAATGTCTGCAGTCAGTTAAAAAAATGTGATCATTTCAATTGTATGTAAATAGTGACAGACCTAGAGCTGCACTGAAATCCGCAATTCAGGCTTCTTCATTACCTCCTTAATATCATCTGGGGTCTCACTGTATTTGGATACACAACCGTCCAAAAAAAGTAATATTTCAATAAGACAGACAAATGCTAACGTTACTAGCATGGACACGTTGCTTATTTTACCTTATACCTTTTACCTGGAAAACACTGAGTGTGTAAAGAGTTAAGAGAGATACTAAACTTGATGAACTCACTAAATGATGCTGAAAGTTTTATTCTGTTGAATCTATATACTCTCGCGAACTCTCGCGAACTCTCTCGTTCTCATGTTACTAGGAGACGCAAATAAACAAACGTGGAGCGTCTCACTGCTGCTGCTGTTTTCTCTGCCGTTTGCGCTGACACAGTAAAGAAGCAGCAGGTAAACATGTTTAAGAGGCTCAGGGATTTAAAAATGAGCAAGTTTTAAATGTATATAAACTCTATTGTGCTCGTGCCTTATTAAACCCAGCTCATTAAAAAGCTTTGCTCCACACGTGAGAGACTTTTCACCATTTTTCTTCGTGTACTTGCTGTATTTTCCTCTTCTGCACTCTCAGTTTTCATTGGCTGTTGCAGGAGTTCGTTCAGATTGAGTCAATGACCTGTTTACGCTAGATTACGCTCAGAGTTGGATCAAAATAATCAAACATGTTTGATAAACTCCGACTGGTCTGAAACGCAATTGGGGGGCCAAAAATAGGAGTCTGCGCCCCTCACACATGACTCGATTCTCTCTCCAACTTTGGGTCAGACTCCGACCGACCCAAAAATATGCAGACTAGAGCCGACCAGCACAGACTCAGCAAGACTGAGAATCGTGGCTAAAATAGGGGTAAAAGTCTTTTAGTGTAACCCCGGCTGCAGTCTTTAGCCGGCTGCAGTAGTCTTTCTGTTTGCTTAATTGAGCTGAACAGATTGGAAACTGATTCACTATTTCACTACTTGAAAATTAAAAAAAATATAACACACCACTAGATCTGAGTACTGAAGGACCCCTAGTGTAAATATTAGTGATACATTTTCCATATTAGCAGATCCTAATCACTACACTGCATATGCAAACGTACACTACATACCCCAGCATGCTCCAATGACCAGCCGCTGGCGTGGGGCTGGGTTAGGGATGGCTCCGTTATCGTGGATGAGCGCTGGATCGAAGGTCACGCCGTCTACGTAGAGTGTGACGGAGGGGAACTGCACACTGAGGGAGAGGTGATGCCACTCACTGTCACAAACCTGCAGAGGTCAGAGCAAGAAGGTCAACAAGGACAGAGAACATGCAGAAAATGAGGGCAATGTTGCTAAATTTAGCTCCCTATTCACCACCTTCTTATTCAAAGTTTCCGTTCCACCTTAAGTAATGCAGCAGCTGCACCATTTAAGGTGGAACGGAAACTTCGAATAAGAAGCTGGAGAATAGAAAGCCAAAATCAGCCCAGTATAAGCGACCCTTTCTCTCTGTCTTTCTGGAACAGACTGCATCCCCCCATCCTTAATCTGCTGAGTGTAAATCCATCTGCCACGCCAGACCATCCTCCCGCCCCCCCATGAAATCATACATTTGACTGCCCTCTCTTTCTCATCACTCACAAATGCAAATGCAAAGCTACGAAGCGCAAGTATTCAAGCAATACACTTAATTTACACTTAGTTTTCCCCCTCTAACCCCAAATAGAGTCGATCAGCCAACACGATTGGTGTCATGTTTGCCTCTTTAGTTTTATACCTTGAAGCTAAGATGCTAATGTGCTGTACAGTGTGGTCAGTAAGTTTTTATCTGCTCAGAAAAACCTTAATATTAGAATAAATACATATAACATTAGTAAAAAGTTATCATTTTTGGTATGTTTGTTTAACCAGCTCCTCAACGAAGCCCAGTAATAATTGTAATTGTCATGCAACACCTGCTTTGGCAAATCAATACCTTATTAAATTAGGAGAAATCTGAACCAAACTAGCTCACAAGCCATTTTTTTTAAATAAAAGAAGAAATTCTTGCTCATTTTTGTTGCGTAAATATTTGTTGGCATTTATTCCAATGTTATCTGGTGCTTTAACAGGCAAAAACACACTAACTGCTGAGAAAAGAGGTCTAAACAAAGAATTTTACACATTACTGTGACTAACAAGTAACAAAAGCTTATAGTCCACAAATAAGCATGTCGCTAACTTCATTCCTAAGTCATCACACACTCGCCTCAAACCACGTGGAGGTTTAGAAATGTAAAAAATCCAATTTAGTGCTTTTTAATACCTTTTTAAGACCTCAAGGCAACAATAATACACAACAGCACACACAAGCTCAAATATAGCCTGTATTAATGTCTTTTCAATGTGATTGAGTTTCTCAGTTTTTCTCAAGCTTCACCAGTGGTCAGTTTCTGACCACAGGGCCACTATCAGCTAGATATTTTTGGTGAACTGAATGTTCTGAATTAGTTTATTACATAAAATGACTTGTTCTTCAGGAATCATCTCAGAATTGAATTAGGGATCTCCGGATTTGGCTCTCAATCAGATTAGAGTCCTTTAATGTGGAGCACTACTCTAAGGCCCAGTCCCACTTCACCCCTCGCCCCTACCACTTAGCCCTACCCCTCCGTTATGTTCATGTCTGGGGTAGGGTGTCCCGATTCTTGTTGAGATAGAGGGGTAGAGTGAAGAGTTGGGGCTACATGGCCCTCCAAACAGAGGTTTTTCAGAGATACACTCTAGAAATGGAGTGTTACAAGAAGAAAAAAAAAACGGAAAACCGGCAGGATGGCTGCGTAAGCGACCAAAGAAACCCACAAACGTGAGGATTTTCTCCACTAAAAATACGATAATCATTGTATTATCTTAGTTTAATGTCGTGTTAAATGTATTAAGGTCATTTTCTTCATAACAAGCATAAAAAATCACTAACAGTATGCTGATGTTTCCCACTCCACCTTAAATGGTGCAGCAGCTCTGACACTTGAAACCCCAGCATGTAACTGCTGCTCCATTTAAGGTGGAACAGGAAAATCTGAACGAGAAGCTAACAAATAGCTGACTTCAGCTTCATATCACTGAAGAATTAGGGGTGGGTGATAATAAATAATTGCCCCCCTCTTTGAAGGCATATGATGCCCTAAATGTAACTAAAGCCCAGCAGTGAGGAGCTGAACTTTACCCTCCTCTGCTGTCGCTGCAGACTGGCAGGGTCGCCTACAGAGCAGCGCTGGTAGCTGTTAATGAAGTGATGCTCTTTTTATTTGAGGACCCATTTCATAGAGGAAGATTTCAACCACTACACCTCGTAACTCAGTTCCAAGGGGAAAACAGGGGTAGGGGTTAAAATAAGAAATGGGATTGGGCCTAATTTAGGGTATCCAAACTCTTTGTCTTGGGGGGCAAAGTGCAGTGTTAGTTGTAAGCTAAAGGGCCAAAAAGCCAAAACAGTGAACAAATAATAAAGGTGAGTTTTTAAAATAATACATTTTGTAAAATTACACATTTTGTCACTAAAGTATTTCAAAAGCACAAGTTTAAAAGGAGAGATATGCATTTAATAAGTTGAGCATAGTTTTTCAAAATGACCATTTTATAGTGTGTTTAATATTAACTTAGATCTAGTTTTACTGACCTCCCTGATGATGTGGCCACTGCTTACTTTAATATGCAGTAGAGTCTTTGATATGTGCATGGTGGTGCACTCTAAAATTACATATCTCTTGCTTTTTGTGGACTGTTTGTGAAATAATTTATAGTCTCATGAACTTGAACTACTATAACACACACACTTTCCACTTTCCATTTTTCAAATCTATTTTAAAAGATGCTTTAGAAGTTTTTTTTTGGGATCCAGACTTGCTTACGTGGTTTCTGACACTGCATGATATACTGTAACCTATTAATATAGACAAAAGTACATTAGCATAGCTAAAAACAGTAGCAGTTGTCTTGAAATGTGAATTGATTTATTTTTTCATTTTTTCATTTTTTATTTTTAAAGTTTTTTTCTCTTTCTGTCATGGCCAAAGGTTAGCATGTGCGTCCTCTGGGACACATGAAGCTCTTTTCAAGCTGCCACGAACTCAACAGCTCAACACGCTTGGAGGAGAACACTATCCACTAATGCTGTTACGTTAGCTAGCATCGTGCAGAGTGATGGAGAAGGAGGACCACTCCACCCATAAACAGCATGTCTTACAGTTTCCACAAGCTTCCATTACTGGTTTGCTATTAGTTTTGCGAAGAAACAAGGCCCAGTTTACCTGCTCCAGCTTCCAGAGGAATTTGACCGGCCGCGCAGCCGACACGTCTGGCCAGTAGAAGAGAGAAAGGCGGCAGCCGTGCACAGACAGGGAGTAGTGCGAATACGAGTCATCTGTCAATAACAACAAACAGAGACATCTCATGGTTACTCAGTGGTATCTGGCTTCAGACACACGCTACAGTCATTCTTCATCCAGCTCTTTATTCAATTTCCTCTCAGCAGTCCTTCTCAGCCTCAGCAGCCAGTAATCTAGGAAGGAAGAAAGCAAATCTTGTCAGAGTACCAGCTCCGAGAGTGTGGGGGAGAAAAATTAATGCTGCTGTCCTGTACTTATTTATATATTTATTTTCTGTTCTGTGACTCAGCTTAAAAACGGTGGGCAGTCATCTGCTGTCAGCAGCTCTTCAGAGCAGCCCTTTAGCCGGATAAGCCATTCCATATATACACACACACACTCTTTGTCCATTTTATCAGCTCCACTTACTATATAGGTGCACTTTGTAGTTCTACAGTTACAGACTGTAGTCCATCTGTTTCTCTGCATACTTTGTTAGCCCCCTTTTACCCTGTTCTTCAGTGGTCAGGACCCCCCATGGACCCTCACAGAGCAGGTGCTATTTGGGTGGTGGATCATTCTCAGCACTGCAGGAACACTGACGAGTGGATCAGACACAGCAGTGCTGCTGGAGTTTTTAAACACCTCAGTGTCACTGCTGGACTAAGAATAGTCCACTAACCAAAAATATCCAGCCAACAGCGTCCTGTGGGCAGCGTTCTGTGACCACTGATGACGGACTAGAGGATGACCAACACAAACTGTGCAGCAGCAGATGAGCTATCGTCTCTGACTTTACATCTACAAGGTGGACTGACAAGGTAAGAGTGTCTAATAGAGTGGACAGTGAGCGGACACAGTGTTTAAAAACTCCAGCAGCACTGCTGTGTCTGATCCACTCGTACCAGCGCAACACACACTAACACACCACCACCACGTCAGTGTTACTGCAGTGCTGAGAATGATCCACCACCCAAATAGTACCTGCTCTCTCTCTCTCTCTCTCTCTCTCTATATCTCTGTAATACATTCAGGACATTAGCATCACTTCACTTTACACAGCTAAGAGACATCATAATATCATAATAACCACATTTGACAGTTCTGGCTACGTTGGCTCATTAAGCTAGCTATAGTTACCTTAATGTATTGGCCTAAGTTAAAACATTACACTGCACTGTTCTGTGTGCACTCGCTCACAAAAATGTCTACAATTAGGCCACACATTACCGGGCTGAGGCGGCACAAATCCGATTTGTTTGCCAAAGCCGTGCTGTTTTCAGAGCTGTGTGGACACACAAATGTGACTTTTTTCAAATCCAAATTTTATATGTGGCACTAAAGCAGATACATTTCAGATTAGCGGCCATACGACCTAAATTAGAACTCTCAGATCAAAATTCATGTGGTTCTTTTTCACTGCGCATGCGTCATCGTTCAGCGTTACCGTGGCAGCAGCCAATATTCTGACATTAGTGTCATTAAACTGCAAAAACATCAGCCCCCTTTTTTTTCCTTCATCTCGCTCTGATGATGAACAGCTGAGAGCTGCTCAGAGCTAATTACCTTTACAATGTTCTTCTGCTGGTTAGTTTGTTTGCTGTCCGTGAGGCACATGGTTCATTCACATGACATTATTGATTATTATGAGCGCATGCAGCTCATTTCAGGACACGGGTTTCATACTAATAACAGATTTGAGTCACTTATGCAAATGAGAACCATCATGTTAGAAAGATCTGAGCAGAACCGAGCTATGAGGCTTGTAATGTGAATGTAGCCTTACAGAGAATCACTATAGAGCCCATGTGTCAAACACGAGGCCCGCGGCACAATCCTATCCGGTCTGCAAGATTATTTCAATATTTTATTAACATTAGCCTGTTTCAGAATGCCCCGCACTACAATCCCCAGCATGCACTGCAACATTATGTACGCTCCCAGCCCACTCCCTCAACAACAATGGGACAGCAGTTACACTGCAATACTACACAATTCCACACCAGTCATATCAACAAACACACTAGCTGTGTTTCAGCTGCAGTTCAGCCAGTAAAAACACTGTAAACACTCAGCAGCTCAGAAACTGATCCCAAGAATGAATAAACCTGCAGCAAAGAAAAGATGTCAGGTTTCTGTATCAAACATACAGGTATGTTTGAAAGACTTAACTACTTGGGACATGTTATATTTCAAGGTCCACTACAAATGCCTACATGTTGCTGTTGACGTTTTGCCGTATTTTGAATAAACAATGTCCTGTTCAGGTTACAGCAAAATATTAATTAAAAACTGAAATAAAAACAAAGCCGTTCTCTGTCCCCACAGATTTGTTGAGATTTTTTAATATGACCCTTTTAGTGGTTGAGTTTGCCACCCATGCTTTAGAGTGTCATGGCCAGCACGACTGCTTCCTGACTAGCTAACCAGCAAACTCTTTACAAACTAATAACAGAGCCGGTTTATGAGGAGTCTGGCCACTTCCTATTTCCCCTGTTATATCAAAGCATGACTGCAAAACGTGAGAACGCGCCCATAAGCGAGTCCTCAATGAAAGGGAGTAAATGGAGCTCAATGGCTAAAAACAAAAAGTTAAAATAGTTTCTAATCACTCTCCCAGAGCTTTCCCTTAATTTTAGAAAGTAGAAGGATGGATTTCACTTAAAAAGCATTGAAACCTCACTTGTGTTTCCTTTTTTCTACAGCAAACAGGTTTTGGGCAGCAGGACGCTAACATTACTGCTACTGAGTGCTGATTGGTTGGCGAGCGGTGCAGCTCATTGGCTGTTCGCGCTCACAGACATTATGAACGTACATGAGGCGCCGTTTTAAACTCCTGTAACTCGAGTTTAAAAGCTCTTAACAATATAACAGCAGTGTTAAAATGTTTTATGCTGCTCTGTGTTCAGGAAATAAATGTATTCTTTTACATTAGAGCGCCCTCTAGTGTTTGAGAAACCCGGAATACATTACAGAGTGGTAATTCTCTCTACAAGAGAACACCCTCAAGTACCATCAGGTCCTGGAAGGAGGCACCAAAAGCAATAAAAATACAGCCTTTAGTACTGGACCGATGACCAACGGAAAAAGTTCCAGTTTTCCAATGACCAGACCAAATTATGAACAGGTAAACAAACACATTCAGAAAGGCTGAGACGTGACTGACCGTTCTTCACCGTGCTGCAGATGATGGTTTCTTCTTCTTTGCGGGTCCCTCTCGCCTGATTGGCTGGCGGCTGAGTGCTGGCCCCGCCCCTTCGCATCCACAGCTGGAGGGTGAAGTGGTCCCCTGACACCATGGAGGCGACCGAGTCGGGCACCACGGCGACGTGGGCAGAGCCATTGAAGGAGAAGACCAATGATGAATCAGAGGAGGGCAGAGTGGGCAGCGCCGCTGTCCAATTGGCTGCAGGAGAGGGAGGCGGGAGCAGGTCGACCTCACCCCTCACAGCACCTATGGGGACAAAAAACAGGAAACATTTTTTATATGTTTAGATTTTATACATCTTTTAATTTCATATCGTTTTATTCATCGATGTTTTCTCACTACAATACCCAGCATCCATCACAGAAACATGTCACAGAACCACTGGGAATCCCTGTGGTCTCAACCAATCCTGACTGTTGGCCTAGCTACTGATCCACAGGCTAATAAACACAACCAGGCTAGCTTTAGTGTAACTCTTACCTCGGTTGTTGAACAAAAACTGCAAAACTACAGCAATTCTGTCTTTATTCAGCACAAAATTGACAAGGTTTTGAAGAAATGAAGAAAAATCTGAGGTAAAGTATCTAGATAGCCGGCTACCTTGTTTATGTTAGTTAGCTTTTAGCTTATTGCGCCTCAGTTGTTGAACAAAACTGTAACAAAATACAGCAATTTTGTCTTTATTCAGCAAAAAAATGTTTTTACAGAGAAGATAAGAAAAATCTGAGGAAAGGTATCTAGATAGCCGACTACCTTGTTTATGTTAGCTTTTAGCTTATTGCGCCTCAGTCGTTGAACAAAACACAGCAATTCTGTCTTTATTCAGCACAAAATTTATAAGTTTTCTACAGAGAAATGAAGAAAAATCTGAGGTAAGGTATCTAGATAGCCGGCTACCTTGTTTATGTTAGCTTTTAGCTTGTTGCGCCTCAGTTGTTGCACAAAACTGTAAAAAACACAGCAATTCTCTCTTTATTCAGCACAAAACTGACAAGTTTTTCACAGAGAGAAGAAGAAAAATCTGAGGAAAGGTATCTAGATAGCTGGCTACCTTGTTTATATTAGCTTTTAGCTTGTTGAGCCTCAGTCGTTGAACTAAACTGTAAAAAACGCAGCAATTCTCTCTTTATTCAGCACAAAACTGTCAGTTTTACAGAGAAACAAAGAAAAATCTGAGGTAACCTTGTTAACATTAGCTTTTAGCTTGTTGCGCCGCTCATCCGAAGTCTTTTCTCCTCATTTGAGTAATTCTTGTCATTGTAATGATGATTTGAAGCTAACCAGCTAATGCAGTTTCTCAAAAGTCCCTTCCACCTTCAACATAAAGCTTCAGAAAGGACCTTTCCTAGCCTTCAAACCAGAAAATCTAAAAGCTACTGCGGGTCATCACCGTAGGAGGTGAGCAGGCATGTTTACAGCAGATGTAGCAATGGCTACACTTTCCATCTTGGCCTGAGAGCCCCTCTAACATACAGACCAATCTGTGCCAACGTGCAGCCGAGTGAATAACAGAACTGGACGCCAATTGATGAATCCAAGATTTTTATAAGAGCATCAGAATAGCTTGCCGTGCTATAATCTCATTAAATTGAAAACAAGGAGGGAAAACACGCTCTAAAAAAAGCTAATCCTCGTCTTTACACACAATTTTCTGTCATGAGAAGAAACGGTGCGTTATTAACTCTCACACATCAGGGTCTGCAGCCGGGAGACGGAATCCTTTTAATCCGCTCGTAAGCGCTAAAGCAGACGGCATCCTCTTGTGCATTCGACACAGAGCGCAGCGGCCGCTTGAATACTAATCTGAAAGCACTTTCCTTCACTCTAAACCTGAACCGTATCCAGAGTAATGTGGAATTATGGATCATCAGTTACTGAAGGGGTGGGGGGTGTCACGGAAGGTAATACTGTGCCCCAACAGCTTCACATGCTGACCTGCAAGGTAGTCCAACCTCCAAACTGGTAGGATCCCACATTAATCTTTAATGTGTTCCCTGAGGTCCACTGAAGAAATATGTCTGGTTTAATGTCAAAATCAATTTTTATACCATTTTCTAACCCCTCTATATCCCTTAGAATTAAACAGCGTGCTTTTGTTACCATGCCTTTAAGGCTGGAATACGCAAATGAGCTCTGTTCTGATTGGCAGCCTGTATGGTGCCTTGTTTAGAATGAATTTAGAGTTGAAATACTCCTTATAACTTCAGGGTCAATGGGCGGAGCCAAACTGCTAAATCTTTTATATCTATCTTTTTACAAGGCAACAATTATTCAAGAAGAAAGTTTCGATTTGACTGTTAATAAATTATAGAAATAATTTTCAACTGCAGCCAAAATTTTACCTCTTAATTTGGTTAGTAAGCAATAATACCTGTTGTATTGGCGATAAAGAAAAATTGCTTAATGATGATAAGAAAAAGCAAAGCCAGCTGTTTGTCGAGTGAAGGTAGCCGCTAATTTCCTTTAACGCCTTTCCTAATTAAGGACCCATAACGTGAGTTTGTTGTTCTGTATAAACATTGTTAAAGTTTCAAAACATACAGATTCACTTCCCAATCCATACAGTCCATATATGGGAACTAAGCTTCAAAAAAAAGTCATTGTTTTTGAGCTAGAACCACAAAACTATTCAAGAACAGTGTGCTTGTACTTGAGGGGTATGTAAGGTTTTCTCACAGAGTTCGTTCAAACAATGTTTTCACTACAGGAAATAAATAGCAGAATGTTAAGAAAATTGAAATTGAACTTCCTCAAATGATTTCATAAAACACACCTTACACTGACCCTAATAGACACTACATACAGATTCATATGCATACTAACATATATGCACACATATTAGCAACCACCCGGGATACTGTAGCAATAGCCAAATAACACCTAAAAAACCACCTGGGATACCACAGCAATGGCTTAATAAAGCCTTGGCAACCAATACAATAGCAATGCCATAGTAACTCCTTAGCAACCACCTGGCAACACCTTAGCAACCACCTGGGATAAGCAATGAGCTAGCAACACCTCATATCTGGCATACCAGAGCAACGACCAAGCAACACCTTAGCAACTGTCCAGGATTGCATAGCAACAGCCTAGCAACATGACAGCAACCACCTGGGATAAAGTTCCAACCAAACGTTCCCCTTCTAGTTATGACTGGTACGTAGAACCACAGGGACGTCATAAATGGACCCTCGGGGAAAAAAATAAATCCAATGAAAAACATGGAATCTGGCCCTTTAATCCTGCTGCGCTGTCCTGAAGTGCTTTCACTCACCGCAGAGCCTCCTGACGGAGCGGTCCGAGTAGCTGTCCCGGTCACAGCCTTTCCCAATGTGGCCTGTCTGGAGCTCTACGGTGGCCTGGATGTTCCAAACCGTCTCCTCACACGTCTCCAGGTGCAGGTTGGGGAAGAGGGGGATGCTGCCGGAGCCCGGCGTGTATTCAACTCGCTTCGACCAGCCTGAGAGTCCAGAACACACAAACACAGGAATGAGTTTGAGCTTTTTGTGTTTATATTAAAAAAAAACAAAAAAAACAAAACACAAACAATAGAGGTTTTGTCCCGACAACGATGATGTCATGGTTTCCCTTTGTTCCTGTGTCTATTACTTCCTCTGTTTTGTAGCCATGTGCTTGTGTTTTTGTTTTGGTTCTTGTGCTCCTTTGTGAGGCGGAGAAATTCCCCATGTTTTTTGTCTATTCTGTAAAATGGCATGAAGCCAATGTGTGTCGTTTAGTTGTAGTGATTGAAAGAAAAAAGATGAATTCATCATCCATTTTCTCACCGCATCTTAATAGCGTTTAGACGAGATGACGCATCGGACTCATGTGAAGGTCCCACTACGTTAAAAATCCGAATTCCGAAATACATGAATGGAGTGAACAGGCCTTAAAACTCCCACATTAGACCAAGCTTGGTGGTTTGTATGGGGTATTTTGGTGGGGTTATCAATCTCATGATGCTAATTCAGGGTGCAACAGTTTAAGATTGCAGCAATATTAATTTTTCAACTGAACCTCGTTATCCATTTTGCTCAAAACTGCCTAGACATGGAGCTCCTGGTCATAACAGCGATTACAAAATGACAGATGTCTGTGAAAACCACCTAATAAGTCAACCACACATGTTCGCACTAGAATGAGGGAGGTGCTGAAATGTTAAGCAATGCTTTACCATTAGCATCAGCATTGGCTTACCGATCCAGCCAGGCTTGCAGGAGGGTTTGACTGTAATGACGACCTGAGCATCAGCCTGAGCTCGATTCTTCCCGCAGTCAAACGCAGTCACCCAGAAACTGTGAACACGCTGCTTCTTCGAGTCCAGAGGTTCAGTGTTCTTAATGTTCCCTGAAGAGAGAGAGAGAGAGAGAGAGACCGGGAGAGATATTCAGACACTGACAGTCATTTAAAAGCTAAGCGAGAGTGACAGAAACCAGCAGATACTTTCCTAAAATATTATAACAACGTAACAGTCTGAAGATAAGAAAGAGCGAGCGCAGGAGTAAAGAGATGAAAAGAGAGAGGCAGGAACGTCTCAGCGAAACGCTTCAGATATCTCCAGAGACACTCAGCATATGACAAAGAGAGACTGAAAAAATGCACCAAAAGGCAAGCTTCTTAAAAATGAAACAGGCAAGGAAGTTTGTCTGTTTCGGCTGCTCATATATCAGCAGTTAAATAAACAAAACTGTGCAAAGTTCAGAGACCACCCTTCATTTATTTAACTACCAGTCAAAATGGCTGTTTTTGAGTGTCTCCTTGCCCCTTGGAACTGATTACAAGGGTAGTGGTTGTCTTCCCTCTGAAATGGGACCCTCAAATAAAAAGAACATTACTTCATTAACAGCTACCAGCGTTGCTCTGTAGGCGACCCTGCCAGTCTGCAGTGACAGCAGAGGAGGGTAAAGTTCAGCTCCTCACTGCTGGGCTTTAGTTACATTTAGGGCATCATATGCCTTCAAAGAGGGGGGCAGTTATTTATTATCGTGCACCCCTAATTCTTCAGTGATATGAAGTGGAAGTCAGATATTCACCAGCTTCTTATTTGAATTTTCCCTGAGGCAGCAGAATGTAACTGCTGCACTATTTAAAGTGGAACGGGAAATTTAGCCAGCTACCAAGACATCAGCACACTACTAGCGATTTTTTATGCTTGTTATGAAGAAAAGGACCATAATACACTGAAACGACATTAAACTAAGACAATACAGTGGTTATTGTAATTTTAACAGAGAAAATTCACACATTTGTGGGTTTGTTTGGTCTCTTGTTCAGCCATCTTGCTGGTTTTTCTTTTTCTCATATCACTCTGTTCGGAGTCTCTGAAAAACCTCCGTTTGGAGGGTCATGTAGCCCAAACACCCAACACCCTACCCCTCTATCTCAACAAGAATCAGGACACCCTACCTCAAGGCATGAATGTGCAAAACAAAGGGCTAAGGGCTAAGTGGTAGGGCCGAGGGGTGAAATGGGATCGGGCCAAAAAAGCAGATGCTACAGTTAACTTGGTCTACAGCATAAGCTCAGTTCACAACAGGCTCCACACAGCACGGTGCTCCCACACAGCGCCGCGACCCGCTTTCCCTACATTTTTGCGCTAATGCAGCAGAACAAATCTTCAGCAGGAAGCAAGGTCAATGCAACGTTTTCCACGGGACGAGAAAACATCTTTTCTGATTGGTTATGGCCGCCCCACGTCTCTGCTCATTTGCATAAAGTTGAGCAGAGCTGAACCTCTTCGCCGCGGAGTGTCGCTGACTCTCTTTCAAAATGAATGGCTTCCGGCTGCCTTGACACTTTCGTCGCTGGCAGTGTGAACGCAGGGTCGGCAGCAACTCTTCACCTCTTGTCGCCCAAACCGCTGATCGCTCATCACCTGAGGGCGTATCTGAACCCGAACTGGCGCTGTTTGCCACGGTTTCACTGAAGCTAAGAACAAATCAGATGCGTTTCAGCTGAAAATAAAAATCCTGGTGAGGAATCGCTTGTGTGCTTATTTTTATTTAATCCCCGTGTCTGTTCAGTCAGTATGTGAGGAAAACAGTATTTGGTCTTTGCAATTACTGTTTATTTGTGGCGAAAGCACCGCCGCCATCACTTTATCTCTAGTAGGAACAATTATCTAGGAACCAAAAAAGGAGTGTACCCTTTCACAGTGGCGGAGATGATGTGCATACAACGCTGCTCAATCAGAGCCGGTGTATGAGGAGCCTGGCCTCTTCCTATTTCCCCCGTTATATCAAAAACAGGACTGCCAAACAGCAGAGGGCGCCCGCGAGCGAGTCCTCAATGAATGGGGAGTAAACAGCTCAATGGCTAGTTTCTAATCACTGAACCAGAACTTTCCTTTAATTTTAGAAAGCAGAAGAATTTATTTCACTAAAAAAAGCAAAGAAAACTGACCTGTATTTTTCCTTTTTTCTACAGCAAACGGTTTTTGTGCAGCAGGACGCTAACATTCCTGCTACTGAGTGCTGATTGGTTGGCGAGCGGAGCAGCTCATTGGCTGTTCGCGCTCACTGACGTCATGAATAAACATGAGGCAGCATTTTAAACTCCTACATCTCGAGTTTAAAAGCTCTTAAAATATAACAGCAGTGTTAAAACGTTTTATGCTGTTCAGTGTTCAGGAAATTAATGTATTCTTGTATGTTAAAAATGTTTCAGCATTTATAAACTATGATTTTGCTCAAATGCTCCATATTAACCAATTCATTCTTGACTCACTCAGGAGCGCCCTCTAGTGTTTGAGAAACCTGGAAGACATTACAGAGCGATAATTCTCCTCTTTACTAGTTCTCTGGCTCAGTGCTCAATTCCTATTGGTAATCGCCTTGTCGCTTCGCTCCTTATTTAAGTTAAATTCCGCTCAACTTTGTCGTGTCTCACTGAAGGTGAATGACCTCCAGCTGCCTTCTCGCTGCCGCTGTGAACGCAGGGTGAGACTGAACTTTGGAGGTGTGGAAAAATATCCCTGCAGATTTCTTTGAAAACCTGAAAACGAGCCTCCTAAAAAAATTAAAGTTGTAATACAGGCAGAGATTGAACACAAATACTAAAACTGTTTATATATTTAGTTGTTTTCTGTTAAATATCTGTTTTCTGCTTTTCCCGACAGTGAAAAATGAATGACTTGTACTTAATGGCCGTTTTGACCTGAAATTCTAATAAATAAATAGAGGGGGTTCTCTGATTTTTGGAGAGAGAGACAGAGAGAGAGACAGACAGAGAGCGAGAGCAAGAGAGGACAGTGGAGAAAGACACAATGGAAGTGTATTCACTGAGTGGTGCCTGGTTCAGTCTGACCCAAATTACCATCCAAACCCTTCACACCCAGGCAGAGAAATCTGCAAGGTCATCACTGTAAAGACCACCCCCCCCTCCCTCCCTCTCTCTCTCCACGTCCCTCTTCTCTTATTTTTTTTCATCCTCCTCCATCTCTCAATTTTCTTTCTCTTGTTTCTCCTTTTACCTCCTCCTTCTCTCCCTTTCTCTCAGTGTCTCTCTGCTTTGCCGCCCTCCATCTCTCTCTATATATATTTCTCTCATTCTCCCTCACGCTCTCTTCTTCATCCTCCGTCTCTCTAAGCTATTTAGAAGATAAGACAAAATAAGGCTAATAGAGGCTGGCTTTGCTGATCCTGATAGGAGGCTAACAGGCTACGTTCATGAGAACATTCTGGTGTCCATTGAAAAAATGCACTACTTTGATTTGATTTCTGTGAGAACACTGCACTGACGGAGAGCAGATACCAGCGCATGACACTGTATAGAAGTACTGTAAAGATAGTGGGATGTATTGATGGCCAGTAGAAGACGGTCAGGAGCAGAGCTGCTGTTAGTCACGTCAATGCTCAGCAAAATGAAGGAGAAACCAACGGCTGCTGTCAGCTCTAAAGATCTATAAGAACAGCTCACATCCAGAGCTGTACAATGCAACTCTAAAGATCTAGAACAGCTCACATTAAGAGATGTACAATTCAGCTCTAAAGATCTAGAGCAGCTCACATCCAGAGTTGTACAATCCAACCCTAAAGATCTAGAACAGTTCACATCCACAGTTGTATAAAACCATCAATAAAGATCTAGAACAGCTCACATCCAGAGCTGTGCAATCCAACTCTAAAGATCTAGAACAGCTCACATCCAGAGATGTACAATCCAACCCTAAAGATCTAGAACAGTTCACATCCACAGTTGTATAAAACCATCAATACAGATCTAAAAGAACAGCTCTCTGATCTAAAGCTGTACAATCCAACTCTAAAGATCTATAAGTACAGCTGTACAATCCACAGCTGTAGAGCTGTACAATCCAACTTCTAAGATCTGAAACAGCGAACATCCAGAGCTGTACAATCCAACTCTTAAGATCTAGAACAGCAAACATTCAGAGCTGTACAATCCAACTCAAGACATCTAGAACAGCTAACATCCAGAGCTGCACAGTCCTATTCTAAAGATCTAGAACAGTTCACATCCAGAGCTGTACAATCCAACTCTTAAGATATAGAACAGCTCACATCCAGAGCTGTACAATCCAGCTCTTAAGATCTAGAACAGCTCACATTCAGAGCTGTACAATCCAACACTAAAGATCTATGACAGTTTGTTCAACTCTCACTATATATATATATATATATATATGTATCTCCTTCCTGCTCGTCTCTTCTTCTCTCCTCCCACAGCCGCTCTTCCGTGCTTGGCTTCCTGTCCCTCGACTCTCGTCATGTTACAAAATGTCGGCTATTGATCTTCAGTATTTGTCAATGAGTCTCTGCGAGAAAGAGATTCTCATCCCCTATCGAACCCAGGCCAGATGAATCGATCTCAGATCAGGTACCACCCTCAAAAAACCTTCACCACCACTGAAGATGGAGACCTCGACTTTCTCACCGGAACAGACAGAGACAGAAAGGTTAAAAATCACAGTTCTGCCCTCTTAGTCGACCAGCCGAGAGCTTAGCATCATCCAGACTGCATGCTTAAATCACCACAACAGGCAAACATACGCAGAGCTACATTAGTATCAGCCATCCTGAAGCCTGAATGTCCGTACACTTATATGACATATGACGGCCTCGAAAACCACGAAAGGAAGTCTATTTGAGATCACTCAACAACTCGACACAATCTGAGACAAGCATGAGATGATGCCATGCTGTTAGCACTACGCTAATTGGTGGAATGTGAGCTTCCATTACTTGTTAGCAACATTAGCCTCACAGCTCCAGTGCAAACTACACTGAACTTAAAATGATTGGTCTAAGTTTGCTCACCTGAAAATCAGCTAGCTAATGCTAGCCAACATTAACATTATCTGTCATGCAGTTAGCTAGCTAGCATAACTAGCGCAAATTAAGTGAGTTCAAAGTGCTCGTAATGAAGTTAGCTCATACAAATTAGCTCAAAATAGACGACAGAAGCAACTCAACGTATCAAATAACTAAATAATAGCTTGGTCGTTATCTAATAATATAATTTAGCATTAGCTGAAGATACTAGATATTAACTTAGATGTGACAAACTGAGCCATGAGAGTGGCGGCACCCTCCTGTAATGTTATTATGAGACTGAGAAGCGTTTTAGCTGACGCAGTATTACATTCCACCAATTTCGGAAGCTGGAGGATCATGGGAGTTGTAGTTCTCACCGTCGTTGTCAATGGCGAAGGGGACATTGGGGGTGATGATGTCGTAGAAGCAGATCTGGCTGTACTGGGGTGAACAGTCAGCGTCCAAAGCTTCAACACGAACGATCCGGTCGAACAGACGACCCTCAGGGACGGACGCCTCATACCGGCGCTCCACAAACACCGGAGAAAACTCGTTCACATCGTTCACTCGCACGTGAACTGTTGCTCTGGGAAGAGAGAGAGAGAGAGAGAGAGAGAGAGAGAATTCAGAGATACAGAAAACAAGCGGAGAGAGAGAGAATAAGAAAAAAGCAGAGGAAAAAAGGGTGAAAAAGAGAGAATTCAGTGACCGAGAAGAAAAAAGGAGAGATAATTAAAAAGAAGCAAGAGACAGAGAGAAGTAGAGAACAAGAGAATAAAGAGAAAAAGAGCGAACAAGGAGAGAGAGAAAAGGACAGAGAATTCAGAGAGAGAACAAGAAGGGAATAAAGAAGAGAGGAGAGACAATTCAGTGATAGAGAGCAAAAAAGAGAATGAAAAAGAAAGCAAGAGAGAGATAAGAGAGAGAATGAGAGTATAAAGAAAGAGAAAGAGAGAGAGAAACAGAGAGAGAGAGAAAGAGAGAGAGCAAGGAGAGAGAGAGAAAGTGAGTGAGAGGGAGAACAAGGAGAGAAAAAGACAATGAGAGAGAGAACAAGGAGAGACAGAGAAAGAGAGAGAGAGAAAGAGAGAGAGAGAGAGAGAACAAGGAGAGAAAAAGACAATGAGAGAGAGAGAGAGAGAGAGAGAGAGAACAAGGAGAGAAAAAGACAATGAGAGAGAGAGAGAGAGAGAGAGAGAGAGAGAGAAGGACAGAGAATTCAGAGAGAGAATAAGAAAAAGAAAGGGAATAAAAGAGAGAGGAAGAGAGACAATTCAGACCAAAAGGAGAGAGAAAGAAAAAGAAAGTAAGGGGAGAGAGAGAGAGAATTCAGAGAGAATGAGAAAAAGAGGGAAAAGAGAGCGAGGAAGAGAGAGAATTGAGCAAGTGAGGGAACAAAAAGCAGCGACAGAGAGACATTCAGAGACAGAATAAGAAAAAGAGCGAGAGAGAGAGACATTCAGACAGAATAAGAAAAAGAGAGAGAGACATCCAGACAGAATAAGAAAAAGAGTGAGAGAGAGACTTTCATGCTAATGAAGCTCTGCTGAACTTGCTGAACTCTGGAACACAATGTGTGTAAAAATAGTGAACAGTGTCGAGCTGGAAGTGAGGAGCGTGTTTATCACACAGACTTCAGACGTGCGCGTTTGTTGTCCGTGTTTAAAGTGACGGTTACACACTGACGCAGGAATCTGTGCTGAGCAGCGCGTCCTCACTGAAGCTCTGCTGTCTGGAGCTCTAATACAGCCTGTCAGCTTAATCTGTTTCAGCTACAGGATCCAGCATGGGCTTATTACTGACTTCCAGCTATACAGCAGTCAGTTCTGATGCTACATTCTGATTGGTTGGGAAACATTCTAGCTGCACCTAGCTGGAAGGTGTTTTAAGTTGGGAGTGCTAACATTTTAAGCAGCGTGCAGGTGACGTGACCGATGACATCACGCAAAATGATTTGCTCTGACGCACATCATCACTCTGCTCTCTCATTTCTGGACCATCTTTATGCGAAATGGTAGATAAAAAACATCATTAATCCATAAGATGATTATTTTTAAGATAAAAAAACAACATTAGGCTGCTTTGAGGCTGGACTTTCTCTTTGAACGTCAAACTGTGATCTGTTTTTCCGACGCGCCCGCAAAGCAGCCAACAGCTGTCAGCTCAATTTAATGAATATGTGGCGTTCGCTTAATGCAGCTACTGCAGAATTAAAAAATATATAAATACAAACTCTGCTCTAAAACAAGCCTGCATGGCTCCATACTATGCTCAAATTATTATTATTATTATTTTATGATTGCTTTATTATTATATTATTATTATATTATTATTGGTATCGATGCCAATGATGGCACTTAAACACAGTATTGGTATCGATAATGGACAGAATTTAACTCTACGTCGGCGCTGTGGGACAACAAGCAGCAGTAAAAATGCTCATAGCAGAATCTGTAACAGCAGTTTTTGGTGTTAATAACACGCTAACAGAGCCCCTAACCTGAACAGCTGAGCTGCTTCTTTCAGTATCACTCGTCTGCCGCTGTGTGGTCAGTTACAGTCTGGGTTAACGATATGTAGAGCGGAAGGAACCGCCGGACTCTTGGCATAATAGCATTTAGCCTTGATTTAGCCTTTTGCATAGCAGCCCGCTAGCCGGGCCTGTGCGTCCACTAGCCCTGCCTTTGGTGAGCCTCTGTCGGTCAGCTGTATCACTCAGCAGTGGGGTCTCGCTTCAAGCAAGCCAGAAAAAGTGAACAAGACGCACATACGAAACAAACGACTTGAGAAATTTCAATGTGAAACAACACTTTTGAGCCAGAGAAGCTGCTGTGTGCTGATGTGTAAACACCACAGGTTTATTTGTTTACTGTTCAGTTCTGTTTTTAACTGCGCAATAAAGACATCTTACATTTAGTTGTTAAACATGGTACTTACTAATTATATAGTAGGAAATACCAAATATATATATATAGCAAATAAACAAAAGTTTTCTTAAGCATCTAATAAATATAATCCAACAAGTAAATGCCATCTAGCCAAGCTGAGAGTGTTTTATCTGTGACGCAGAACATAAATTTAACCAAAATAAAATATTTTAAAAATGCTATTGAGTAAATATCAGGACTGAGTTAGGTTAGATAGAGTTAGTATTGGTATCGGTACTCAGTATCGGCCGATACTAACGGATCAGGTATCAGTATCGAAGGGGAAAAAGTGGTATCGGTGCACCTCTAGAGCGAATATATTGTATACACATCATTTTTGGTAGTTTGCAGCTCGCTGATTTATCCATGAGTGTCCCGTGAGCACTGGCTATTGCAGTCTGCTGAAAGAATTGCTTTAAAAAGCCACTGAAAAGCTGTGTTTTCGTATTATGCTTTAATGTCTTTAAAAAAATGGCATTAATATCTGATTAATTGAACAATTTAACACATCATTAACATCATGTTTGAGATATTTCTAATATTTTCAGATGAGCTAACAGCCCCTTTAATATCTCACTTGTGTGATTTCTTGCTGTTGGTGCCGTCGGGTCCCTCTCCGCAGTCGTAGGCCTGGATGGTGAAGCTGTGCTCCCTCTGGCTCTCGCAGTCCAGCGGCTCTTTGGAGCGCACTAGGCCCTCCCCGGTGGAGCGGTCCAACACGACCGCCTCGAACTGGGCAGCCCCAGAACCGCCCGGGCCGTTATGGACACGGAACCCGCAGATTTCACCTATGGAGAAAAGAGAAAAAGAGTTAGAACCTGTATAAACACACAAAAACATACTGAGCACCTTCAAGATGCCACTAAAAATGGTTCTTTGAAACAAAGCCATAGAACCACTTTTGGTTCCCCAAAGAACCTTTCTATGGCTGGCTTTTTTAAAAAATATATTTTTGGATGGTGCCACAAGGAACCATCTGTTGTTCCAAAAAAAAAACCTCTTAATTGTGGAAATACATAAACATAAGCTACACTCCTTAAAAAGACATTTTTGGGGGTTCTTTAGTAAGGAATGCGGTTCTATCTAGATCCATGAAAACTCAAAGAACCCTTTGCATGATTAAGGGATACTTTGCATCATGAAAGCATTCTTCAGATTGATGGATAATGTGCTGTAGATGGTTCTATATAGAACCTTTTTGAAAAGGGTTCTATACAGCAGCCAAAAGGGTTCTGCTATTGTTACAAGCTTGACATCGCAACAAAGGAAGAACCCTCTTTGGTGCTACATAGAACCCTTTTCAAATAGGTTCCATATAGAACCATCCAGAACATGTTCTGCATCAACCTGAAGAACACTTTAATCATGCAAAGGGTTCTTTGCATCATGAAAGGGTTCTATATAGAACCATGAACACACAAAGAACCCTTTGCGTGATTAAAGGGTTCTTTGTATCGTGACAGGGTTCTTCAGACTGATGGAAAATGTGCTGTAGATGGTTCTATATAGAACCTTTCTGAAAAGTGTTCTACATAGCACCCAAAAGGGTTCCACTATTGTTATAAGCTTGACATTGCAACAAAAGAACAATGCTTTTTGGAGCTACATAGAACCATTTTTAAAAAATATTCTATATAGAAGCATCTACAGCATGTTCTCCAACAGTCTGAAGAAACCTTTGCATGATTAAAGGGTTCTTTGCATTGTTAAAGGGTTCTTCAGACTGATAGAGAATGAGCTGTAGATGGTTCTATATAGCAGCTATAAGGGTTCCACTATTGTTACAAGCTTGACATCGCAACAAAAGAACAACCCTTTTTGGTGTTACATAGAACCCTTTCCAGAAAGGTTCCAGAACCTTTAGAACCATCTATAGCACATTCTCCATCAGTCTGAAGAACCCGTTCATGATACAAAGAACACTTTAATCATGCAAAGGGTTCTTTGAGTGTCCACGGTTCTATGTAGAACCATTTTCTTTGCTGAAGTACCCCTGAATAACCACTTCTTATCAATATGACTGTGAGAATATGATGAGATTATATACCAGAACAGTACATTAGAACAGCAATTCTAAAGAACCATTAAGGAACCTTCATTTTTATATTCCACTGTAATTCAGAGCACCACACTTTCCAAAATCTGTCCTGCAACACTACGAGCGTGAAAACGTGTATTTCAAAGCCCCACAGAGCTCACGAGCGCGCCCGTGCAGATGATGGATCAGCCTGCGGAGAGGGCAGGCCGGCCAGGTCTAATCCCTCCGTAATTTTGTACAATTTGTGTAAACACTGGTGCGTAATTACTTACTGCTGCAGCAAACTAATCGCCCGCTACTCCAAACTGACCCACGCGTTCACCTCAGCGCTAATCTTGTTTATAAACACTCAAGCTGAGCGTGCGCTTAGGTAATAACATTGTAACGACACAAAGCAGCAGCACTTATTACAGTGATAAATGATAAACTCAGCTTTATTATTCATATTTTTTGTTGATTTCTGGCCCAGCATTGTTATAGATTACAGTTAAATAAAAACAATGAGCTATTTTGCTGCTACAGTGGAAACATGGAAGTGGGCAAAAAACTGAGAGATACACCTCCAGGTTCTCTATATTAGTAAACAATAAACAAATACAAAGCGTTCTGTATAGTGTTCCAGCATAGGAAACAGTGATGAGGGGTCTATTTCTGTTCTCTGTAATCGTGTTCTACTGTGCTCTAATGATTAGGACACTATTTTAAACACAGCGTCGTTGTAATGAATACTGTGAATGACCGTGTACGTTATCTGCATACTATAACAGTGATTAGAGGAACATTTCTGCTCCCTTTAATAGTGTTCTACAGTGCTTAATTACAGGGAATAGTGAATAGGGGGAGATTTATGTTCCGTACAATAGTGTTCTATAGTGCTTAAATGTAGGGAAAAGTGAATAGGGGGCATTTCTACTCCCTAAGATAGTGTTCTATAGTGTTTAAGTGTAGGGAATAATGAATAGAGGCATTTCAGTTCCATATAATAGTGTTCTATATTGCTTAAATGTAGGAAATAGTGAATAGAGAGCAGCTCTGTTCCGTATAGTAGGGTTCTATAGTGCGCAAGTGTAGGGAATAGTGAATAGGGGGCATTTCTGTTCCCTACAATAGTGTTCTATAGTGCTTAAATGTAGGAAATAGTGAATAGGGAGCACCTCTGTTCCGTATAGTAGGGTTCTATAGTGCGCAAGTGTAGGGAATAGTGAATAGGGGGCATTTCTGTTCCCTATAATAGTGTTTTATAGTGCTTAAATGTAGTGAATAGTGAATAGGGGCATTTCTGTTCCCTACAATAGTGTTCTATAGTGCTTAAATGTAAGGAAAAGTGTTCTACAGTGCACTTGTGAATAGGGGGCATTTCTGTTCTGTATTATACTGTTCTATAGTGCTTAAATGTAGGGAATAGTGAATAGGGGGCATCTCTGTTCGGTATAATTGTGTTCCATAGTGCTTCAATGTAGGGAAAAGTGAATAGAGGCATTTCTGTTCTCTATAATAGTGTTCTATAGTGCTTAAATGTAAGGAAAAGTGTTCTACAGTGCACTTGTGAATAGGGGCATTTCTGTTCATTATAATAGTGTTCCATAGTGCTTAAACATAGGGAATAGTGAGTAGAGGGCTAATTGTTTTCCCTAAAATCTAATAGAGAAGAATTATAGTTCTCCAATGTAGGGAATAATGATTAGGGGGCTCTTTATGTTTCCTCTAATGGTGCTCTATAGTGCTTAGCAAAGAAATTAGGGGGCCACCTCTTCGTAGTGCTCCAGTGTAGGGAATAGTGATTAGGGGACCATTCTTTTCCCTATAATAGCGTTCTATTTAGTGCTCTAATGTAGCGAATAGTGATTAGGGCACTATTTTGAACACAGCATTACAGCAGTGACTGACAGCATGTGTTACCTGCGTAGTGCAGAGGTGCGTCCTTATCCAGGGCGAAGAGAGGGGGGTTGAGCAGAACCGTGTTGTCGTTCTCCATGACTATGCCCTGATATTCTGTTTCGATCCATGGCTTGTGCTTATTGGCTGAGAAAGGCGAGGGGGGAGGGGCAAAGAAAAGGCATGAGGGCAGTTTTCAGACTCAAAGGCAAAGACATTTTCATAACGAGTCCATACATAAAGAGGCGATTCTGAAGGTGTGTGCGTCTCTCTCTCTCTCTCTCTCTCTCTCTCTCTCTCCCCCCACACACACACGTACCCGCACCCACTCAAGCCAAACATACGAGAGGCGCGTGCGCTGCTAAACCCACAGATTACAACATGCAGAAAACGAGAACTTGCCATCAAACACACATTCAAATGAGTTCCATGCAAACATGCACAAAACAATGCACAAACAGAAACACACACCCAATTTGTTTTAATGCAATTTCAGGACTAGGAATGCATCGATACGAGTAGAGCGCAATGTGCATATGAATCATATATGTAAGCACTTACATGCAATATATCCCCAATGTTTTATTCATATGTAAATAACTATGTGTAATAAAAGCATGTGCTATATGTAGTATATATACATAAGTAGCTATATGTATAAAATTTCCAAATCCCAGTCCTCACAGAAACCTAATCTTAATCTCAGGAACCAAAAAGAAACGGTTTGCGTTTTCCAAGTCAGTAGTATTTTGCTGTTCCTACAGGTTATCCCTGGTTTTGTCCTGAAGATGTACAAAAACAAACTCACACACACACACACACACACATACACGTCACACAGAACGGCACGCTTCGCTGCTTGGCAGAGCAATTAGGTAAGGATAGGTTTGGCTCTTATCTCGCACTGAGCTATATTGAACCTATCACTCAAACACAGCGAGACAGCTCGCTGCAAAACGCTCCTGAAAACCATCCAAACACACACACCGCCATCCTACACCAGCCTCCACAACACCAACCAGCAGAGACATGTGACCTCTCAGCTGGACTGGCAGATGGCAAAAACAAACGCCTAATAACATGAATTCAATTAAAGAGATAAAAAAGAAATCACAGTTTCAAAAACACAGGCGGTCAGCCAGGACATGTTCCACGTCTGAAGTCCTTTTTTAGTTTTGCACATGAGCTACGAGGCTAATGTAGCTAACAAGTACTGGACCCTTAAAAGCCACTGTTAGCATTGTGCTAACTGCATGCCTAAATCACACTCTACCCTCAAACTGTGTCGAGCTGTTATATAATCTCAAATACATTTGATCAGCATCTATAACAATAGACACAAATACATCACTATGGCTAAAAACACTGGCGGCAGCCATCATGATGGCGTTAATTTTCTCCGTACATTTGTGTTTTTTTGTTACCGAAAAGCGTGTGTCATGTGCATTCTGAATAATTTTGATATTTAAGTACCTGTAATAGTTAAAGAATGGATATCTGGTCAACTATGGGCAAAAAAATAACAACAAAAAGAAAAAAAAAATATTGCTTTATCTCAAATTAGCCTTGGGCTGTAGGATGATAGCATGCAGGCCAAAATTTGATGTTTCATTCAAAAACAGGCAAATTTTCACTGTTTATTTCCAATTATAACTAACTAAAGATACAAAAAAATAGGCAGGGTAAAACTGTTTTTTCCATGTTGGATTAGTGACAGTCTGCCTCTTCCGATGAGCCAATAAGCTAATGCTACAGCTAACTGGTACAATGTTGAATAGTAATGTAGACTCATCTTCAACACAAGGTATTTTCTCCTCAGTGGACGACGTGCCAATATGTCATTTTTCAAAAAATACAGATTTTCTCTGTTTCTGGACTTAGATAACATCGGCAAGAGTGGTTAGCGATAGTAAGCGACTAGTTAGCGTTAATCAGTGCTAGTTAGCGATAAAGCTGCGCTTTCTCTGCCTTTTTTGTCTGGTCTTTAACAACACGTCCTTAGCAATGAGTGCATGTTTAGTCACAGCAAAGTGTAAAATATCATATATGCTCACAAATGAAAGCAAAACTGTCACAAAACCCTGTTAAAATGTAAAATCTCTGAAGCGTTAGCCTGCATGTTCTCCTCGGAAGAAACATAACAAATACCGGCACTTAACCAAGCCTATCTGAAATGATTTAATCACAGTTTGAGGTGAATGTGTGAAGATTCAGATCTGCAGTTTGCACAATGCTAACAAGGGGCTAAATAGTTTCCATTACCTCTTAGCTACATTAGCCTCATAGCTCCAGCACATCCAACATGTCCTGGCTGACAGACTAGATTTTGGGTGAGGGGAAAATTGTGTAAATCGCTTTAAGTCTGGCTAGCCCACCTTAAAAACAGTTCAGTCCAAGCCAATGTACACAAGTGACTTTATACAATTAAGATTCTTCCCGCCAAAAATAAACCAAACTCCATTAGGTAGAAAATGGCCCAGTTACAAATCGGCACTGCTATAACAGACCAAACAAAACGGCAGGGATTTGATATGCGGTACGTATCTATGGCGTGTTTTTGGCTCTCCGCTTCCAGAAGAGCATCAAGATTTATCGTCCGTAAGCGCTGACCACTTCAACCTCATATTTTAACTGGACAGTTCGTCTTTTTTGCCGTCCATCTCTCTTTCTCTCCTCTCCCTCATCCCTCCCTTCCTAATGTAGCATTAATCTGAGCATCAGGCTTGTGGATTACTCTCCGGATTACAGATTGAGAGATTCCACCCCTCTCGTCCTCCCTGGCAGACACGCTAACTCTGTCGCAGCCCACCGCCACTCAACCCACCCCCCCCACAACCCCTCACCCAACTACACCTTCTTCATAATCAACTGTATGCCCACTGTTATAACGTTTACATGTAAGTACAGTAGAGCTTAAGGGCATTTTAAAGGGCTTATCATGGAAAACCAAACTTCCTTTTTGGAAATAGTTTGACGTGTATATAAACACAGAATCGCAGAATTTCTGTCCATTTTTATAGATAACAGTACATCAGCGTTAGAAACCACATAAGCAGTTCTATTTGGCCCCTTGATATTAACACCCGTTTGGGTGACCTGATCGTAAGTGGACACTGAGACATGTAGCTGTTCACACCTGGCATTTCCACAAATCTCAAACGCCTCTCCAGTGATCGGATATCGTGACTTGAGGGGGAGCACCACCCACATTTACTACGTCAGTCTCTCTCTGCATTTTTATTGTCTTTTTTCTTTTTATTTATACTTTTACCTTGTGCTTTTAATTGTATATGTTAATATATCCATTTTCTGCTATTTATTTATCATATTTTGGTTTTAACTTTTTTCTCTTCTTCCTTGTGAAGCACTGCATTTTTAGTGTATGAAAGGTGCTACATAAATAAACATTATTATTATTATTATTATTATTTGTTGTCACACAAAAATGTACCACGAGTCGTGTTCGTGTAATTGAAAGCAATGTTTCAGACGTTTAGACACTGTTTACACCTGGTCATTTCATGTGTCCAGAATCTGGATTGTATCCTGATAAGATACGCTACGCTAAAGATGGTTGCTGTGTCTGTCCATATTGTTATTAAGCATTACGTTTCGTCCAGTCCCCAACCATGTGTGTCCTCCATGACTATGTTCCTCACAGACATGGATCGCATGCTCATTGACGTACTGCATGGGGGGAGTTTCAGTTGTATTAGGGAGTTTCGGTTGTACTGGGAGGGGTTCTGGTTGTTGAATGTGTCGACGGATGGTTTACACTGCCCACCGTCCACCTCCTGAAGTGGTCTCAGTGATTGGATTTGTATCTGTTTTAAACGTGTCTTGTTTGCGTTTACACTTGCATTTATATGTGGCTTGGACAGGACCAGATATAATCCTGATACTCAACACACATAAACAAGGTGTAAACAGGATTTTTGGCCATGTGAACCACTAACATGATTGTAAACAATAGCAGAGGAGGTGAAAAATGAAGCTACGCAGCTGCTTTCGTCTCTGCTGTCATGACGCAGCTAATTAAGATGGTCCTTAGACGTTGTCAAAGACGCATTGAGACATTTAGCATTCACATTACAAATGTTATGCGGTCACATGCGTCCCTGACCATCTCCAAAGTGGTTTTTGTGATCAGATCACAAGGTGTCTCCAAGATGCAATGCACCCCTGTTCACACCTGTACTTACCGCTGTCCACTTATGATCAGATCACCAGGAATGCATGTTAACAGGGCCTTAGAGATTAATAGAATGGTGTGTCGAAAAGAGCAAATTCGCACATTGATGCATTTACCTCGGATGTAGCTGATCAGCCAAGACATGTTTGGTGTCCAAATTGTGCTTCTTTAGTTTAGCACTGCAGCTACAAGGCTACAAACACTAGAAATCAATCGTTACTGAACCTCTTCTATAAATACATCCCTAAAACATCTAAACCCACTCTTACCACATCCAGGGCTTCATTAAGATGCCGCAGTCTTGTTGATGACACAGTATGACTTGCTGTGAGCCACAAAAACGTACAACACAGTCAACGATAGATGTTGGGTCAATATTTGACTGCTGTCCATATGGACACTAGAGCATCTTAGTGATTCCTACTGTGTAATTTTATTAATAACCTTGAATAATCTTCAATTTTCATACTGAAGGTATATTTTTATAAAAAGAAACAAAAGAAAATCTGAAACATAATCTAGCATCCATACGTTTACATGAACCACACATGCACAAAGGGAAGCCAGAGTCCTCAAAACATCGAAGTTTTGTTCATTTTTATAGCTCACAGTATGTTATACTGTGTCTAAGACCACACTGACAAGTCTGTGTGAGCTTATCGAAGATGAGGGATGCTGTTCGAACGCATTGTGAGAGGTTTTGACGATGTACTTACAGAAAAGATTTGGGTGACTATTGATTTGTTAGCCACGTTAGCTCAGTTTATAACTAAGGAAGCAATATTCAGACACTAGACGGCTTGGCTGGTCAGCTATACCTGGGGTAAGAGAAAAACTGTCTAAGTTTGATTTTTCCCTCAGTTAGCAGCATGCTAACTGGTGCAGTACTTTCATAACTGTTAGCTACATTAGCCTCGTAGCCCCAGTGCACAACTAAAGAACCAAACACCAAACATGTCTTGGCCGAGTGCATCTGTGGTAAGGCAGAGAAATTCTGCAAAAAATGAGATTTTTCGCTCCTCTATTCCTTTAATGTGACTCCTTTTGCGCCAACTCTCGCTCTCCTCCTCAGTACATCCTGTTCTCTCTCTGTCGCCCTCTCCTCATCCACTTTTCTCTTTCTCAGCTTTTCTGTCCACAGCTAAACAATGCCTACACTGCAGAAACCCTGGCCTGTTCATTATCTTGATCACAGTGCTCACCGTATTGATACCTCCAGCATCAGAGCACATGCTAACGTTACATACGCCCAGCAGGAAACATGACAACATGCTAACATGCTACTGAATACGATCATATCAAGGGTCGAGGGTCACAGGCTGAAAAAGAAAGACGCTATAGGTGTTTTTTTTGGTTTTTTTTTGCTCTGCCGCAGACCGTGCTCTCATCCTCTCTTACAGTGGTCACCATCACACCGCTCACAAACCAGCACGCAGAAGGACGGGAGACAACTGACCTTTGTTGCCATGAGCAACGGAAGTCAAGCAAAAGAGGAGAAAGGAGAGCAAACTCATTCTGGCCATCTGAGGGAGAAGGAAGGGAGAAGGCAGAAGGGAGAGAGGGAGAAAGGGAGGAGGGGAAGAACACATGCATTAAACTGACATTGAGCAGTGAAAGATAAGACATGAGGATAGACAGAGCATGGAGACGGAGGAGTGCAAATACCAGAGAGCCACACGGATCTGCGCCGGCATCACACACCAGGGGGCTCGTCCTCATTAAACGTGCATTTTATTAGCATTCAATTACTAAGGCAGTGGTTGATTAAAACCCAGACCAAACCTTACCGAACCTCCCAATCCCACCCGACACACACGCCGACCCACCTCAAATGCACCCAGAACCGCTCAAATCAAAGCTTAACCCACCAAAACTACCCAATCCACCTTAATCCCACCTAAATCGAACCCAAAATCCAACACAATCCATGTCATTACTACCTCAAACCCACCCAATCCAACCCCATCCACATCAAATTTACCCAAATCCAACCCAACGCAAACCCTCTCTGACCACCCAAATCCAACCCAAACCCAAACTTAACCTACCGAAACCACCCAATCCACCTCAATCCCACCTAAATCAAACCCAAAACCACCCAAAATCCAACACAATCTATGTCATAACTACTCGGGCCAACCTTATGCACCTCAAACCCACCCAATCCAACCCCATCCACATCAAACTTACCCAAATCCAACCCAAACCCTTTCTAACCACCCAAATCCAACCTGAACCCAAACCCATCCAATCTAACCTAAACCACTATAAACCCACCCAATACAATCCTATCCATCTCAAACCTAACCAGTCCAACCCAATCCACCTCAGCCCTACCCAAATCTTACCCAACCAACTCAAATCCAACCCAATCATAACCAAACCCACCCTCACCACTCAAATCCCAACCAAATCTACCTCAAATCAAAGAAATCCAACCTAAACCCACCCCCAACCACCTATAATCCAACAAAATCCATGTCAAACCCACCCAATCCAACCCAAACCACCTAAAACTCACCTGTATTCAAACCCACCCAAACCCAAGCTAAATTCAACAAACCCACCCCAACCTTGCTGAAAAATCCAGCTAAAACCAGCTAGCTGGTCCAGGCTGGCTTCAGGTGGTCTGATTATCTAGATTCTTGGTGGTCTATGATGGTTGACGGTCTGGTCATCAATCTGGACAAGGGCGATAAGCTTGATGAAGCTGGTAAACCAGCTAAACATAGCAAGAAAAACATTGCTTATGCTGGTCAAGCAGCTTAACTACTTGAACTGGGCAGGCCAATCTGCCCCAAACCAGCCCAATCCACCTCAAACGCACCCCCAACCACCTCAATCTTACCCACCCCTCCTCCTATATATAAGGAGCTATCACAGCTGCTTGCCTGCCCCCACTGCAAGGCCCTCTGGTCCCAACTGCTGGCCATATTTCACCACCACAGGCAGGATGGACAGCGCAAGGACGACCTGCAGTCATTTGCTGCTTTAGCAGACTGAGTCTCCTCTGTCCAGGTGAACGTGCACCATCGCCAGTCTGGCCGCGGGCAGGGAGCCTAGCAGCTCACCAGCTCACCAGCCGACGTAAATACGATGCCTTGGCGTTTTTTTCCTCCCCATGTGGCCTTTTTTCTGCGCCCTGCGTCGACGTGCGGTGCGCAAAACGGGTGCGTTTTCCAATTAAAGGAAAACATGACTGGCACCTGAGAAGGGCGCGTTTTCTTTTTCACAACGCAGCCTCTACGGTCACTACTACTAGGATCTGAAACGAGGCTTAAGTTGTTTTCATATTCGCCAGCGTCTCGTTGGAATTTTCCGTTCCACCTTAAATGGTGCAGCAGTTACATTGTGGCGCCTGTGGCGCCACAATGTAACTGCTGCACCATTTAAGGTGGAACGGAAAAATTCCAATAAGACGCTCTGGCGAATGTGAAATCAATGGATTTTAAGCCATCTGCGGACACGCGGTCGCCGATTTGTCGACAAAAACGGCACCCAAAATGGATGGAAATGGCGTGTGGAAAAGAAAACCAACGTTACCTTGAGTTTTTGGGGGGCTGGCAGCCTGCAGGACCCTCACTGCATCCGGAATACACTCTCACACACGCACTCACACATACAGGGAGGAAGAGGAGGAGGAGGAGGAGGAGAGGAGCTGCAGCACCGGGCCTTCGGTCAGCTCTGTGGAAAATTCGAGCTGCAGGAGAGATGCTGGAGAGAGAGAGAGAGAGAGAGAGAGAAAGAGAGAGAGAGAGAGTGATGGAGAGAGAGATGGAGGCGCTGCCCCTGTTTCACTGCCCCTCCCTCTCCATGCGATTCTTAAACCGCCCACACTGCGTCTCTCTCTCTCTCTCTCTCTCTCTCTCTCTCTCTGTTGGGAGCCATTGATCGACACATCGACGGATATGTAACCTTAACGTGTCAGTGCTCTCTCTCTTCACCTCTTTCTCCATCTCTCTCTCCCTCTCTTCTGTCGTTACCTCCGACTCCATCTCTCCCTCTCTTAACCTCTTTCTCTCTCTCTCCCTCTCTTCTCTCGTTACCTCTTTCTCCATCTCTCCCTCTCTTCTTTACCTTTTTCTCTCTCCCTCTCTTCCCCTTTCTCCATCTCTCCCTCTTTTCTTTACCTTTCTCTCTCTCCCTCTTCCCCTTTCTCCATCTCTCCCTCTTCTCTCTTTACCTCTTTCTCCATCTCTCCCTCTCTTCTCTTCCCCTCTTTCTCCATCTCTTCTCTTTATCTCTCTCCATCTCTCCCTCTCTTCTCTTCACCTTTCTCCATCTCTCCCTCATTTCTCTTCACTTTTCTCCATCTCCCTCTCTTCTCTTTACCTTTCTCCATCCCTCCCTCTTCATCTTCTCTCCCTCTTCGCTCTCTTCACTTTTCTCCATCTCTCCTTTTTCTTTTTCTCCATCTCCCCATTTACCCTTCATCTTTTTCTTTTTCTCCATCTCCTCTCTTTACCTTTCTCCATCTCTCCCCCTCTTCTCTTCACCTTTCTTCATCTTTCCCTTTCTCCATCTCTTCCTCTTCTCTCTCCTTTTTCTCTTTACCTTTCTCCATCTCTCTCTCCTCTTTCTCCATCTCTCTCTTCTCTTTCACTCCATCTCTTCTCTCTCCTCCTCTTTCTTCATATATCCCACTCTTCTCCGTTTCTCTCTCCTCTGTTCTCTTCCTTCTCATATTCTTTCTCTCTCTGGTTTATTTACTCCAGTCTCTGTACTCAGAGTGGACGTTAGTGTCTCGTCCTCAGACCACAATATTAAATCACACTTCCACTCCTCACCATGACCGACAGTGTAAAGATGCTCCCTCCTCCTCTTTCTCCCTCCCTCTCTCCCTCCCTCCCTTCATCTCTCCTGCCCATAAGTCCAGACTGCATAATGACGTCATGCCGGCTCCTTCATACAGTAGGCCAGACAGGCCAAAGCAGGCCACAAGAAAAAAAAAGAAACGGAAAGAAACAGCGTCCAGCCCGAGTTTGATCAAATCCAGCATTTTTTAATGAACTTTACAAAAAGAAGTGTCATTTAAAATCATTTTCTTCTTTGTACATTTGGTAACAGTAAGGCAGAATTAGTCTCTCCAACAACAATTACTTCACATCAGCGAAAGGTAGAAAGGTTACTCAGATCATTCCGACGCTACAGTGAGTCCCTCTCAGTCTTCACGCTGTGGCAGTGCTGAGGGCAGAAAAAAGAACAGATCCGTCGCTGCAGGCTGACCCGCATGAGGCCAAGTAGTGTCGCGCCGCCCGGCGTGATCTCATACCGAGAACGTCTGAGAAATATTATGGACTAAATGTGTAGATGTATTAGGGTGGGAACAAACTTGAGTGTGAAACTTCTACAGCAATGTAAGGATTAGTGAAGGCAGAGCTGACAGTAGGGGGCGCTGGAGCGCTCGTCAACACTAGCTGTGTCCCAATTTAGGGGCTGCATCCTTTGGAGGCTGCATTTGAAGGCCGATTGCGTCACAGCAGCGCGACTAGGCTGTCCTATTTCGAAGCCTCCTTCATAAGCGGCTGAGAAACGTGTCCTTCTTTTCCAACGAGTGGATCCTTCGCCAGCCAACATATCTCGAGGTTCACTGCGCGCCGGCGAGGATTCGAGACCACGACAGCATCAGCAGAGGAGTAAACGGCGGCTAAGGAAACACTTTCAAATTTAGGTATTGGGATTAAACTGAGCAGCTAATGATCGGTTTAGCCTTCGCAGGTCTACGCAGCCTTCGTAGACCACCTCCTTCGAAGGATGCAGCCCCTGAATTGGGACACAGCCACTGTCTGACAGACAACAAGCCTGTCGTTAGCACACAGATGTAATGTAAGTTAGCACGGCTGAAAAGTCCCCCAATATACTCCAATTAAGCATGTGGACTGGATGGGGTTTGGGGGGCAGAGGTTAGAGGGGGCCGCACCCTTGTCTGTGGCGCAAACCAGCACCAAAAGTTTGAGTTGTATTCTCGTTACAGGACCACGTCAGCCTACGCGAGACTAGGTGCCGAGAAAGCACGATTTCATTTCTTACAAAAAACAGAAAAAGACCATTTTGGCAAGTATAGTGTTGTAAACCTTTCCTGGGTTTGTATTCTTCCTTCTTTGTTTTTTTTTTTGCTTGTGTTCCAGTTTAGACAAAAGTATCCAAGTGAAAAAGTCAGACATTCCTGGTTGTTGAAAAAAGCTACAAAAATTACCAAAATTCCAAACAACCCATTCTAAAATTGATCGCTAAAATATTTCCACTGCGAAAAATCAGATCAGAAAAAAAAGAAGAATTAACATTCATTTACACTGAAAGGCATATCTGAGAATATCTTGTTTCACTGCACTGTGTGTGTGTGTGTGTGTGTGTGTGTGTGTTACATTACAGTGTCTTGTTTGAATCTGAGCACTGGCTGCAGGTCAGAAAAAAAGTAAATTTCAAATTAAATAAAATAATACATTTCAAATAACAAAAAATGAACTAAGTTACTGATCCAAGCTCCGCCCACAAATACTTTCTTTCACAGCTGTTATTGTGAGGTTGGACAAGCTTTACAGAACAAAAGCTTTTAGCAAAAGTCCTGTTCAACGTAACGAGACACCACAGCTCACAGCTACAAGCTCAAAACCTTAAACCTTCATTTTTGTCCTTTTCTATATTTATTTTTATTTATTATTTTTATTTTATTTTTATTTTTATATTATTTTTATTTTATTTACATCATGCCAATTTCACGACAAATGGACCAACAAAAAGAGTAAAAAAATGACTTTACGTAAAAAGTTGTTTTTGGAGATACGACGTTTTAATCTGACGGCGACGATATGCAAAGATTTCTGCCTCTGTTCGTCTCACTCCGTCGGCGTCATCAAGTAGCTTGATGTCGCTACTGGAGGCTACATACGGTCACTAGAGCTGGAATGATATGCAATTTTTAAACCTCGATAAATTAGGAGAAACTTATTGATGAATCTTAACATTTTCATTATTTGAAGCCATTTTTACGCCAATATTCTGCATATCTAGGACAGTTCCCATTTGCGCCAGATGGGGACAACAAAGCCTTAATCTCCTTTCACACCAACAAACAAGTCAAAACAAAAGGTTTGAAAACGTTGCTAACGCTAAAGCTGTCTTCACATTAGCGCTTAAACGGTCGACGATAAAATGAAGGTAGTGCGCGATTTTCAATCCGCACTAAATGTCAAACCACCAACTAAACAGCGCTGATAACTAGAAGAGAGGTGCTGATTAGCATTAGCTTAGCTAGCATGTTGCTTCTCACCACAGAACAGGTTCTGACAGAACGCTGAAGCAAGTTCAGGGGTCTCAAATCTGAGGAGCTGAAGCCGATCGGCTGGCGTTTGAGAGAAAGACAGCAGAGATTAAACCTGTTCCATTGTGTGTGGGTCTGCACCCTCCTATCTAGGCTAATGCTAGCCAGCTGATGCTAACGCTAGCATCCAAACGCCCTACTACCGGTTTGAACAGCACAGTACGGCCCTGAGAACCATTAACAGTGGAAAAGAGGTCAGTGGTGAACTTTAGCAGAATGGGCAGTTACACAGCGTCTCTTATTCACACTGGCTAGAAGATAAATAATCATTTTGTTGCTATTACTAATCTTTTCTTCCACTTCATCACAAGTGTTTAACAAAAGTGAGCAGTGGAGCAAAAGTTTCAGTGCATTAAAAATCACATCTGCTTTTCATCTGTAAAAAAAGGGCCAATATTAAATTAGTACTACGAATAAAAAATACTGTTTTAATCAAAGGACAACGCTCTACTGTGCATTTAAATGAACTAAAACCAGGACTGGAGTTTCAGATTGCAGCAATCGGTTCTACTTATGGATTTCATGGCTATTATCGACAGTTATATACTGATAAATATAAGCAATCTAAGCCCTGTCATGGTTTCTGTATGCATGTCAGTACATATGAAAAATTAAGAGGAAGATGATGATGATGATGATGATGATGGAAAATCCCTCTTTCATGCTACGGATGTAGGCTTAGCTAGCTAGCAACCAATTGATCAGTTGTGTTTAATATATCCTAACACACACATACAAAATAAAAGTCATTTAAAATAAATAGTACCTTCTAGTGCAATTCTTGCAATGCTTAGTGAAGGCAGAGCTGACAGTAGGGGGCGCTGGAGCGCTCGTCAACACTGACGGACAACAAGCCTGTCGTTAGCACATGGATGTAATGTAAGTTAGTACAGCAGAAAAGTCCGTATAAAATTACATATTTTGATAAAAACTATGCTGCGGTTTCAATCAAACATTTTGGCCAACGTTCTGTAAAGCTTGTCGAACCAGGCAACAGTTGCTATGAAGGAATGTATTTGTGGTGGGAGCACGGATCGGTCAATTCCAAAGCAGCAGTCTCTTCGGTCAACAGCACTGACCGTATGTCGCACACCATCTCATACGTTGCTTTGTTTTCGGTCCGTCCTGGGACATCCTCCTGACCGGTCGATTATTCACGTACGTCTACAGCTCCTAATCGGAGCGCTGGGGTGCATCTTCTTTGTGGCTGCGGTCGTCCACAACAACGCTCAGCCTTCACACTTCTCCCACGCATCACTGACCCAAATGCCTCCGAAATCGTCTCATTTAACAAAAGAAGTAAAACTAATCAACTTGTGATTCTGTAGTATTATCATCTTTTCATTCAGTCCTTTAAACCCCTCTCCCAAAAATAACGCCTTGTCACAAAGAAAAAACAAAAACAAAAAGAATTTTATACAGACTTATGTACGTATGTATATATATATTTATAATATATATTATTAAAGGCCTTAAAATATTTTCCAGATGAGTTGCTCTGTAAAAGTCACAGTTCCCTTCAGTCAGCTTCAGGAGACACAGAGAGAGAGAAAACCTGCACAGAGAGAGAGAGAGGAGAGAGAGAGAGAGAGAGAGAGAGAGAGAGAGAGAGAGAGACGTTATAGAGGATTAGCGCAGCGTCTTGACTCCCGTCCAGCCAACTACATGACGCAGTATGACGCCAGATATGACAACGAGACGGCTGGAGAGTGAAAATAACTCTAATTAATCACAGCACAGAAAAAGAAACGGAGAGAAAGAAAACGAACAGCCCACACAGGCCAACGCCTGATCAGCGCTCGCTGTGGCCGAAGAACAAGAAATTAAACTCAACGTGCACAAATAATGACGCAGAGGGAAAGAGAGGCGACAAAAGACAGGAAAGAAGAAGTAAAACACTGCATTTACCCAATTTTTTAGTTCTCCTTTTTGTCGCTCTTTGCTTTCCGTGGCACCAGTGCCTTCCGGAGGTAAGGTAGGATAAGAATGGCAGCGAAGAAAAAGAGGTGACCACAGAAATACACTGAAGAATAAACCTGGAAAAGAAAAACGACAAGACGAAAAATGTGTCAAAAACAAAAAAACTAAATAGAAAGCACAATTCTGACAAGAAACACCATGATACATCAATCAGTGCATTCTACTCTCAGCCCTCGAAATACATGGCAGGGTTTGGAATTTCTGGGTCAATATGGAATTCAGTATGGAATTTTTGGGCCAATATGGAAATTCTGGGTCAATATGGAATTCTTGAGCCAGCATGAAATTTCTGGGCCAATATGGAATTCTTGGGCCAGTACTGAATTTCTGGGCCAATATGGAATTCAGTATGGAATTTTTGGGTCAACATGGAATTCTTGGGACAATATGGAAATTCTGGGTCAATATGGAATTCAGTATGGAATTTTTGGGTCAATATGGAATTCTTGGGCCAATATGGAAATTCTGGGTCAATATGGAATTCAGTATGGAATTTTTGGGTCAATATGGAATTCTTGGGCCAGTATGGAATTTCTGGGTCAATATGGAATTCCTGGGCCAGTACTGAATTTCTGGGCCAATATGAAGTTCCTGGGTTAATATGGAATTCCTAGACCAGAATGGAATTGCAGGGTCAATATGGAAGTTTTAGACCAGGAGTCGGCATCTTGTACTGTCCTGTTGTGGCTCCACAGCAGAATTTGATTGGTAGGTAATAAAATAATCCTCCTTTACAGTAAAATAAAGCTCTGCTGATCGTTCAACACAGTTTTAGCACTAAATGGTCTTAAACTCTGGAGTTAATGTAGAGCTGCTAATTCACCCTGTAACACTGAAGACTGGCGCGCAGACAGACTGTCACCATAGCAACACAGACAAGAATCTTGCCTAGCTAGTAGGTAACGAATGGTGCAGCACCATTTAAGGTGTAACGGGAAAATCCGAATGAGAAGCGACTTCAGCCTCATAAAAAAAATCAAACGCTGAGAGACATTTTACAAGAAGCTATTCCACTTTTGCGGAAGTTTCCTGCCAGAGATGCGAGAAAAGCAGCTATAGCTGAGCTAAAGCTTAAAGCAGAGCAAAGTAAGTCTGTGTTTTTGTTTATATTATATTTTTTAGCCTATATTAGTACATCAGCACATACTGAGACATATTTACAGCCAAGATAATAAAATGGACATTAAATGCTGTGGCTCCGAAGGTGGTTTGATTTTTGCTGAAAGGACAAAATGGCTCTTCTTAACATTTGGGTTGCGACCCCTGTTCTAGAGCAACATGGAGCTCCTTGGCCAATGCAGAATTTGGGCCAATTGGCAGTCTTGGGGCAACAGAGAATTTCTAGGCCGCTAACAGTAGCCAATAATTGATGTCTTGTTGTGGCTGATACCAGCAAATAACAGTATTTCAAAACAAGTTCACACTGCAATCAAATAGGGAATCAAACAGTCAGAAAAAACTGTGAAATCTGTTTATTGGTGCACCTCTGCTAGATGGGGAGGGAGAAGTAGTCAAGCCGATCACTCGCAACAGCGCGAACTTTCAGCCATTTTAGTCATTTAAATTAAACTAACAATGTTAGTTTGAGGTAAACATCTCAGAACAAGAGGGTATAGGCCCTTGTCCCTGAGCCCTTAGCCCTCAGTTTTGCGTGTTCACGTCTAGGGGTAGGGTGTCCCGATTTTGTTGAGATAGAGGGGTAGGGCGCAGTGTTAGGGCTACAGGGTTTTTAAGAGGCACACTCCAAACGGAAAACAGCAAGACGGCTGCACAAGTGATCCCAGAACTATGCTGACGTCTCGCTAGCTAGCTAATTTTCCCTGTTCCACCTTAAATCGTGCAGCAGTAACATTCTGGTGCCTCAGGCGTCACAACAGCATCAGAACTGCTGCACCATTTAAGGTGGAACGGGAAAATTTGAACAAGAACCTGGCAAATATCTGACTTCAGCTTCATATCACTGAAGAATTAGGGGTGGTGATAATAAATAATTGCCCCCCTGTTTGAAGGCATATGATGCCCTAAATGTAACTAAAGCCCAGCAGTGAGGAGCTGAACTTTACCCTCCTCTGCTGTCACTGCAGACTGGCAGGGTCGCCTACAGAGCAGCGCTGGTAGCTGTTAATGAAGTGATGCTCTTTTTATTTGAGGTTTGTTCCATTTCATAGGGAAGATTTCAACCACTACAACTTGTTACTCAGTTCTAAGGGGCAAGGAGACACTCGAAAACAAGGGGTAGGTGTAAAAATAAGAAATGGGACTGGGCCTTAAAATAGGTTCAGTTGTCTTACACCACATTAACGCCGAGCTGAGAGACAGAGCAGGGTTCAAAATAGTACTCAGAGGTTTAAAACTGAGTGCGACCCACCTTGAGCCACTTGTCATAAGTGAACAGGCAGAAGGGCACTAGTGGATAGCCCATGAAGAGCCAGTGGATGAACTGCTGGACCACGTAAACGAGGGGATAGAAGGGGCCGTTTGCGATGGCCGTCAGTGAGGGACTGTCCTTCACCAGCGCCTGGGCCTGAGGGAGGAGAACAGGTACATTATTAATGCAAGACATTAATCTTAATCACAACATATTGTCATTATATCAAATGTAGTCGATCAGCCAAGACTTGTTTGGATGAAAGTGTGTCGCACAGCCATCTGGACGCTGGAATTTCATCCACACTTTTGTCAGTTTTTATACCCTGTTCTTCAGTGGTCAGGACCCCCATGGACCCTCACAGAGCAGGTACTATTTGGGTGGTGGATCATTCTCAGCACTGCAGTAACACTGACGTGGTGGTGGTGTGTTAGTGTGTGTTGCGCTGGTCTGAGTGGATCAGACACAGCAGTGCTGCTGGAGTTTTTAAACACCTCAGTGTCACTGCTGGACTGAGAATAGTCCACCAACCAAAAATATCCAGCCGACAGCGTCCTGTGGGCAGCGTCCTGTGACCACTGATGAGGGAGTAGAGGATGACCAGCACAAACTGTGCAGCAGCAGATGAGCTATCGTCTCTGACTTTACATCTACAAAGTGGACTGACCAGGTAGGAGTGTCCAATAGAGTGGACAGTCAGTGGACACAGGGTTTAAAAACTCCAGCAGCACTGCTGTGTCAGATCCACTCGCACCAGCGCAACACACACTAACACACCACCACCACATCAGTGTTACTGCAGTGCTGAGAATGATCCACCACCCAAATAGTACCTGCTCTGTGAGGGTCCATGGGGGTCCTGAC